CATGATCAAGTAGGATTCATCCCTGGGATGCAAGGCTGGTTCAATACACGAAAATCAATAAATGTCATTCACCACATCAATAGACTTAAAGATAAAAACCATATGATCATCTCGATAGATGCAGAAAAAGCATTCGACAAAGTGAAGCATCCCTTTATGTTCAAAATACTAGAAAAACTAGGGATAACAGGAACATACCTCAACATTGTAAAAGCTACCTATGCTAAGCCTCAGGCTAGCATCATTCTGAACAGAGAAAAATTGAAGCATTCCCTCTAAAATCTGGAACAAGACAGGGATGCTCTCTCTCACCACTTCTGTTCAACATAGTTCTCAAAACACTGGCCAGAGCAATTAGACGAAAGAAATTAAAGGCATAAAAATAGGAAAGGAAGAACTTAAATTATCACTATTTGCGGATGACATGATCCTATACCCAAAAGATTCTACCAAGAAACTTGTAGAGCTGGTCAAACGAATTCAGCAAAGTGGCAGGATGTAAAATCAACACGCATAAATCAAAGGCATTCCTGTATATCAGTGACAAATCCTCTGAAATGGTAATGAGAACAACCACCCCATTCACAATATCCTCAAAAAAATAAATAAATAAATAAATAAAATACTTGGGAATCAACCTAACAAAAGAGGTGAAAGAACTATACAACGAAAACTACAGAACCCTAAAGAGAGAAATAGAAAAAGGACCTTAGAAGGTGGAAAGATATACCTTGTTCATGGATAGGCAGAACTAATATCATTAAAATGGCCATATTACCAAAAGTACTCTATAGGTTTAATGCAATACCAATCAAAATCCCAATGGCATTCCTCACAGAAATAGAAAAAGCAATCATGAAATTCATCTGGAAAAATAAAAGACCCAGAATAGCAAAAGCAATTCTAAACAGGAAGAGTGAAACTGGCTGTATAGCGATACCAGATTTTAAACTATATTACAGAGCAACAGTAACAAAAACAGCATGGTAATGGTACCAAAACAGGCAGGTAGACCAATGGTACAGAATAGAGGACACAGAGACCAATCCACAAAATTAACTACCTTATATTAGACAAAGGAGCCAAAAGCATGCAATGGAGAAAGGATAGCATCTTCAACAAAAGGTGCGGGGAGAACTGGAAATCCATATGCAACAAAATGAAATTGAATCCCTTTCTCTCACCTTGCACAAAAGTTAACTCAAAATGGATCAAGGAGCTAGGAATCAAACCAGAAAGTTTGCGTCTAATAGAAGAAAAAGTTGGCCCTAATCTCCATCTCGTGGGGTTGGGCTCCAAATTCCTTAATAGGACACCTATAGCACAAGAGTTAAAATCAAGAATCAACAAATGGGACATACTCAAACTAAAAAGTTTTTTCTCAGCAAGAGAAACAATAAGAGAGGTAAATAGGGAGCCTACATCCTGGGAACAAATATTTACCCCTCACACTTTAGATAGAGCTCTAATCTCCAGAGTATACAAAGAACTCAAAAAATTAAACAACAAGAAAACAAATAACCCAATCAACAAATGGGCCAAGGGGCTGGGGATGTGGCTCAAGCGGTAGTGCGCTCGCCTGGCATTTATGCGGCCCGGGTTCGATCCTCAGCACCACATACAAAGAAAGATGTTGTGTCCGCCGAAAACTGAAAAAAAATATTAAAAATTCTCTCTCTCTCTCTCCCTCCCTCTTTCACTCTATCTTTAAAAACAAACAAACAAACAAACAAAAAAAAACAAATGGGCCAAGGATCTGAACATCGACACTTCTCAGAGGAGGATATACAATCAATCAACAAATACACGAAAAAATGCTCACCATCTCTAGCAATCAGAGAAATGCAAATTAAAACCACTCTAAGATACCATCTCACTCCAGAAAGAACGGCAGCCATTATGAAGTCAAACAATAATAAGTGCTGGCGAGGATGTGGGGAAAAGGTACACTTGTACATTGCTGGTGGGACTGCAAATTGGTTCAGCCAATTTGGAAAGCAGTATGGAGATTCCTTGGAAAGGTGGGAATGGAACCACCATTTGACCCAACTATTCCCCTTCTCGGACTATACCCAAATGACCTAAAAAGAGCATACAACAGGGACACAGCTACATCGATGTTCATAGCAGCACAATTCACAATAGCTAGACTTTGGAACCAACCCAGATGCCCTTCAATAGATGAATGGATAAAAAAAATGTGGCATTTATACACAATGGAATATTACTCAGCACTAAAAAACAACAAAATCATGGCATTTGCAGGGAAATGGATGGCATTAGAGCAGATTATGCTAAGTAAAGCTAGCCAATCCCTAAAAAACACATGCAGAATGTATTCTTTAAGGGGAGCGACTCAAAACAGAGCAGGGAGGAAGAGCATGAGAAGATTACCATTACATAGGGATGATATGTGCGTGGGAATGGGAGAGAAGGGGAATTGCACAGAAGATGGTAGGAGCCCCTCATTGTTATGCAAAATTACATATAAGATGGTGTGAGGGGGAAGAAAAATGAGAAACATGTCACAGCAGATTGGGTAGAAAGAGGGGAGGGGAGAGGAGGGGGGATAGGAAGGGCAGCACAATACAACAGACACTAGTATGGCCCTATGTATAAACGTGGTTGTATAACCAATGTGATCCTGCAATCTTTGTACACATGGAAAAATAAGATTAAGATTACATACCCCATTTGAATCAAATGTATGATATGCCAAGATCATTGTAATGTTTTGAGCAACTAATAAAAAAATTAAAAAAAAAATCTCAATTACTAGTTGCAACATGGCAATACAGAACTCAGTGAAAGAACGTGAGAAAAGTATGTTAATGGGCTTTATAAACATAACATGATTGTGAAAATTGATTAAAATAATGTTTCCTAGGGCTTGAATCCAATTATTGAGGGCTTGAATTTGAATTTATTTGTTGTGGTGCTGAGGACAGAACCCAGGGCTTCCCATCCTCTAGGCAAGTGCTCTACCACTGAGCGACATCCCCAGACCTTTCTTTCCTTTTGGTACCAGGGATTGAAACCAGGGGCACTTAACCACCAAACCACATCCCAGTCCTTTTTTATACTTTATTAGAGACAAGAGTTTTACTGAGTTGCTGAGGCTGGGTTTGAACTTGCCATTCTCCTGCCTCAGCCTTCCAAGTTGCTGGGATTGCAGGCATGCCCCACCGCACCCAGCCCCAAGTCTTTTTTCTTAATTTTGAGATAAAGTCTTGCTAGTTGCCAAGGGTCTCACAAATTGCTGAGGCTGGCTTTGAACTTGCGATCTTCTCGTCTCAGCTTCCCAAGTTGCTGGGATTACAGGTGTGTGCCACTGCATCCAATCCTTGTTTAAATTCTTGAGTTGTCCAACATCAAGAAACCAGCACTTCAGATGTACTTTTTAGAAAAGTCCCCAAACAACGAGCTTGTGCTGTATCAGGAACAGGTGCCTTTCAGCTGGTGGTGGACAGAAGAGGCTTGCGGTATTTGCACTGAATCCAAACTCGGTACATTATCAGCTGCTTCCCTCGGTTCACTTGCAATCGACGATCCACCAGATTCTGTACCTTTTCTAGTCCGGCAGTAGTGAAAAGTGTGTCCAGTTCATCTGGTTTGTAAAGAGAAGATGTTTATGTATTTTCCCCTGAAGAAAAGTATTTTGTTGACTACCTCCTATATTAAATGGGCTGTGAGAGTTGCTGTCATTATGCCTTTTAGGTGGCACCAACAGCATAGTTCTGTTACTCACGCAGTGATGGCTTGGTAACAGCAAGTGCACGTTCAGGCTGGGGAAGCCAACTTCATGGGAAGGGCAGTGCAAAACCCAGAGGAAGATCTTTTCAGAGTCAGATGATGGGGAGGGGTTTTTAAGTCAAAAGTTACAGGCCAAGATTTTAAAAAATTCTTTGTTTCATATTTGGTGTCCAGGGCTTTATGAGCACCTTAAATTTAAATCTAAAAGCTGGGTGTATTGGTGCACTCCTGAAATCACAGTGGCTCAGGAGGCTGAGGCAGGAGGATCTCAAGTTCAAAGCCAGCCTCTGCAACTTAGCTAGGCCCTAAGTAACTTTGAGAGACCCTGTGCCTAAATAACATATTTAAAAAGGCTTGGGTATGTAGCTTGGTGATTAAGCACCCCTGGGTTCAATCCCCCATATCAAAAACAAAAACAAAACAAAAAACAACCAACAACCTGTATATGTGTACATCAAAGCAACTATTTTTAGGGGAGAGATTTCATCACTTCATCCAAAAACTCAAAGTATGTGTGTGACCTTAGAAAGGGCTCATGAACAGAATATTCATAAAATACTGGTGAAGGAAGATGCCTGCAAACAGAGCAGACAAGAGGAAAGCAGTTCCAGGTTATACTTGGAGCTCAGAGGAAATGACTCACTGAAGTAGCTGCACCTCAAGTACAGCCCAGTGTCAAAGGCAAAGCAGGCTGGCCTGAAAATGAGTCTTATCTTTTCCACTACTGGGGACTGAACTTAGGCAAGCTCTCTTCTGCTGAGCTACATCTTCAGTTGTTTTTATTTTTATTTTAATATTTATTTTTTAGTTGTAGTTGGACACAAATACCTTTATTCCACTTATTTATTTTTATGTGGTGCTGAGGATCAAACCCAGGGTCTTGCACGTGCGAGGTGAGCGCTCTACTGCTGAGCCACAACCCCAGCCCAGTTGTTTTTATTTTGAGACAGGTTCTCACTAAGTTATGGAGGCTAATCTCGTCAAGCTTGCAATCCTCCTGCTTCAGATGCTGTGTCCGGCCAGAAATGAATCTTGCAAAACAAATAAATTTCCATTTTGGATAAAGTGACAGAAAGAAAGAGCAAAGTAATGGACTGAAGGCCAGCATAAGTGGGGTGGAGAACTGCCGGAGAAACATTGTCCAAAAGCTAAGAGGGGCCAAGTCAATCTTCTTCTCAAAGTATACTGAAGCACTTATCTGGCATCTTGGAGACCTTTAGAGTAAATACAGATCATCTTTTTCTTACCTTGTGTGAAGAAGTAAACTCTGGTTCCATCACCTCTCACATAGAAATTTTCAGATAGACACTGACCTGTGGAGGGACATGGTAAAAATCAGACACACTTCAAAGCACTTTTTAAATATACTGCTAATCAAATGTGCATCAACACTCTGATTTCTCACCAGGGCATGAAAACTCACATGTAAAATTCCAGCAATTCAGGAAGCTACGGCAGGGGGGCTGCAAGTTTATCAGGGAACATGTAATTCTTTTTTTTTTTTTTAACTGATTACAGAATGCATTTCGATTCTTATTATACATGCATACCACAATCTTTCACATCTCTGTTTATATAAAGTAGGTTGACACCCAATTTGTGTCTTCACACATGTACTTTGGACAATGATGTCCATCACATTCCTCCATCATTGCTAACCCCCTGCCCCCTCCCTTTCCCTCCCACCTCTCTTCCCTATCTAGAATTCACCCATTCCTCCCATGCTCCCAGTCCCTACCCCACTATGAATCAGCCTCCTTATATCAAAGAAAACATTTGGTATTTGTTTTTGAGATTGGCTAACTTCACTTAGTATTATCTTCTCCAACGCCATCCATTTACCTGCAAATGCCATGATAATTTATTCTCTTTTATTGCTGAGTAAATTTCCATTGTGTATAAATGCCACATTTTTTTTATCCATTCATCCACTGAAGGGCACCTAGGTTGGCTCCACAGTTTAGCTATTGTGAATTGTGCTGCTTAAACATTGATGTGGCTGTGCCCCTGTAGTATGCTGTTTTTAAGTGATTTGGGTATAGTCCATGGAGAGGGATAGCTGGGTCAAATGGTGGTTCCATTCCCAGATTTCGAGATAATCTCCATACTGCTTTCCATATTGGCTGCAACAATTTGCAGTCCCACCAGCAATGTATGAGTGTATCTTTTTCCCCACATCCTCGCCAACACTTATTGTTTAGTTTTGATTTGCATTTCTCTAATCGCAAGAGATACTAAGCATTTTTTCATATATTTGTTGATTGATTGTATACCTCTTCTGAGAAGTGTCTGTTCAGGTCCTTGGGCCATTTGTTGATTGGGTTATTTGTTTTTATGGTGCTTAGCTTTCTGAGTTCTTTGTATACCCTAGAGATTAGTGCTCTACCTGATGTGTGAGGGGTAAAAATTTGCTCCCAGGAAATAAGCTCTCTGTTCACTTCACAGATTGTTTCTTTTGCTGAGAAGAAACTTTTTAGTTTGATTCCATTCTATTTATTGATTCTTGGTTTTAATTCTTGCGTTATAGGAGTCTTGTTAAGGAAGTGGGGGCCTAATCCCACATGATAAAGATTAGGGCCTACTTTTTCTTCTATTAGAAGCAGAGTCTCTGGTTTAATTACTAGGTCCTTGATCCATTTTGAGTTAAGTTTTATGCATGGTGAGACAGGTTTAATTTCATTTTGTGGCATATGGATTTCCAGTTTAGGGAACATGTAATTCTTAGCTCTGTATGCTAGACTTAGCTGATGAAAACAATAGTTTTTTTTTTTTTTGGGGGGGGGGGCGGGTGTTTGTTGTTGTTTTTAATCATCCCCAAGCCCCAGATTAAGTTAACAGCACCACCTTTTTTTTTTTTTTTTGGTATGGAGGATTGAACCCAGCACTTAATCACTGAGCCACATCACCATCCCTTTTTATTTTTTGACACAAGGTCTCATTAAATTGCTGAGGCAGGCTTCAAACTTGCTATCTTCCTGCCTCAGCCTCCTGAGCTGCTGGGATCACACAAGTGAGCCACCACAACTAGCTTTACTTTTTATTTGAGACAGAGTCTCCATAAGTTGCTTAGGGCCTTGCTTAGTTGCTGAGTTCAAGGCCAACCTCAGCAGCTAAACATGGCCCTAAGCAACTTAGTGAGACCCTTTTCAAAATAAAAAGTAAAAAAGGCTGGGCATATGGCACAGGGGTAAAATACCTCTGGGTTCAATTCCCAGTACTAAAAATAAAAAAAATAATAAGCACATACCTTGCTTTGAACTAGCCAATGAGAGGGTTAGAAACAATTATTTCTTTATTAACATTTCCTCTAAGTTTTGTTTACTGGCCATTTAGATATGCTCTTCAGTGAACTGCCTGTTTTTTGGGTGGGTCACTGATCTTTTCCTTATCAATCTCATGACAGCCTTTTGAAGAGCATAGATACGAGTCTATCTATTAAATGTTCTAGAAATACATCTATTCAATTTCTCATTTGTCTTCTAATTAAGAGAAAAAAATTCAATGCTAGTATGGAACCCAGAGCCTGGTACACACTAGGGAAGTGCTCTACCACTGAGAGAGATCCCCAGTCATTTTAATTTTGAGACAGGTTCTTGATACATTGCCCAGGCCTTGAATTTGCCATCCTCCTGCCTCAGTCTCCTGGGTAGCTCAGATTACAAGCTTGTAGCTCTGAACCCCAGCCTCTTCTAATTTTTCAATGGCATCTTTGATCATACTAAATTTAATATTATTTATGTAATCAAATATCTAAGCATAGCTCTTTTAAAGTAGTTATTTTGGTTTAAAAGACCTAAAACCCAGATTGCACAAAACTCTTATTAAAAGTTTTTGTAAACATCATCCCTTTCCTTGTTATGTATCAAGTGGCTTACAAACTGGGCTCTAATTCTGAAGTCTCCTTCCACTGACGTCTAGGTCTAGTCTGATGGTAAAACCACCATTTAAGGGCTGGGGTTGTAGCTCAGTGGTGGAGCGTGCCTCGCTTGTGTGAGGCACTGGGTTTGGTCCTCAGCAGCACATAAAAAATAAAATGAAATAAAGGTATTGTGCCCATCTTCTACAATAACAAACCCCCCCAAAACAAAAATAAAACAAATAAACAAAAAACACCATTTAATAATAATGGCAAAATACCTTTTTTAAACCGCAGCTGGGCCATGTCATAGCGACCATAATCTCGCAAAAGCATCATTCCTCCAGGCTTCAGAAGTCTGCTCAGCCTATTGATAGCTTTTTGCATCCTGTGGGGAAGAAGGGAAGAAAGATTAGGCCTCCTTAGGAAAAGGGCTCCTTTTCCCTGCCGCATATCCCTAAAAGCCCTAACTTGGCTTTCCTAACTTGGACACATCAACCCTGAAATTACAGCTCCTCTGCCTCTGTTTCAGTTAAAGAAGCTCAAGGAAAGCCTGCTTTGCCATAGGGCTCTGTAGTGAGCAAAGTTCCAAATTCTCCATTTGGCTTACTTTATCCTGGGCCAGGGATTGCTACCCCACTCTACTCATTTTTTGTAGTACTGGGGATTGAACTCAGGGACACTTTACCACTGAGCTATACCCCCAGTTGTTTTTAGTTTTTATTTTGAGGAAGGGTCTCTTTCACTAAATTGCTGAGCCTGGCTTTGAACTTGCTATCCTCCTGCCCCAGCCTCCAGAGATTATAAGTGTGAGCCACAGTGCCTGACTCTTGTGCTCTATACTCCTGTGGCTCTCTGGGAGCCCTGACCAAACAATGTGGGGACTGCTAGCAAGTCATATACTACCCCATTAGACTTGAGATCTTTCAATGCAAAGACTGTCCCCAGTGGCCTCCCTCCCCCCAATTGGGGACTGAACTCGGGATACTTTACCACTGAGCTACATCTCAAAATTTTTTTTTTTTTTAGTTGTAGATGGACACAGTACCTTTATTTTATTTATTTTTATGTAGTGCCAGGGATCAAACCCATTGCCTCACACGTGCTAGGCAAGTGCTCTACCACTGAGCCACAACCCCACCCAGCCCTGTCCCAGTTCTTGTTTAAATTTTGAGTCAGGTGTGGTGGCACATGCCTGTAAATCCCAGCAACTCAGGAGGCTGAAGCAGGAAGATTCCAAGTTCAAGACCAGCCTCAGCAAAGTATCAAGAACCTAAGTAACTTAGCAAGACCCTAACTCAAAAGGACTGGAGATGTGGCTCAGTGGTTAAGTATCCCAGGTTCAATCTGCAGTACCCCCCCACATACACAAAAACAAACAAACAAAAAATATACATATGTATTTGAAACACAGTCTCACTAAGTTGCTGAGCTAAGGCTGGTCTTGAACATGTGATCCTGTTGCCTCAGCCTTCTGAGAAACTGGTATTATAAGTGCGTGCCTCTGTGCCTGCTGAGACTGTTTTTGTTTGTTAAATGAAGTCCTTTCCTTAAAAACTTACAATTTCTGAGCCAGGTCTGGTGGTGCATGCCTGTGATGCCAGAAACTCAGGAGTCTGAGGCAGGAGGACCACAAGTTCTAAAAGCCAGCCTCAGCAACTCAGTGAAGCCCTGGGTAACGTAGTGAGACCCTGTTTCAAAATAAAAAATAAAAAGGGCTGGGGATGTGGCTCAGTATTTAAGCACTGGTGACAGGCAAACAAATCAATCACAGACGGTATGGCTTCTTCATGTCCATTAGAACATAAAAAGCCTTCTTAATTTTAGAACTTTTAATTTAAGGTTTCTGACCAAAACTTTCTTTTTGCTAGGCTACTAGTTAAAGGACCTAAAACTTACTTGTCTGAGCCAGGCACAGTATTGCGCACCTGTAATCTCAGCTATTTGGGAGGAAGAAGTAGGAGAATCTCAAGTAAAAGGTCAGTCTGGGTAACTTAGCAAGATCCTGTCTCAAAACAAAATAAAAAGGGCTGGGGGAGAGCTCAGTGGTAGAGTGCTTGCCTTGCATGCATGAGGCCCTGCGTTGAATTCCCAGTCCAAAACAAAACAAAAAATCAACCAACCAACCAACCAACAAACTTACTTGTCTGGAAGAACTGCTGAAAGAACAAATATGAGAATGATGACATCAACACTGTCCCCAGGCACTGGATAATTCTGATCTTCATCACAGAAATCATGAACAAAAGCAAAACAGCGAGAAGAGTCATACTCTGAATTTGTCTGCACACAGGCGGAGAAAGAAATGGGTCAGAATAAGTGAGCATAGCTTGAGATCAGCTTGTCGCTGCTATTACTTCCAGCAGAGGGACCTACTTCTAGTAAAACAGATAGGGAAGATCCTGTGCAATTCAAACTGGTGCTTTTAAAAAATTATTAATTATATATTTTTAATTTTTTTAGTTGTAATTGGGCACAATACCTTTGATTAATTAATTAATTATGCGGTGCTGAGGATTGAACCCAGGGCCTTGCACAAGCTACGTGAGCACTCTACTGCTGAGCCACAACCCCAGTCCCCAAACTGATGCTTTTAAAAGGAGCATTTCTAACTACTTTTATTCTTTATTCTGATGCACTGTCACACCAGTCAGGTATGAAGTTAGATCTGGGGACTGGAGAATGCCAAGAAAATTAAGAGACCAAAAAACTCATAAGGAGAAAGACAAAGTATATTTAAGTGATCTTGAGCCACAAGATTAACTATTTCCAAGCTGGAAATGGTGGTGGTATATGCCTGTAATCCCAGCAACTTGGGAGACTGAGGCAGGAGTCACAAATTCAAGGCCAGCCTCAGCACCTTAGCAAGACCCTGTCTCAAAATAAAAAATAAAAAGGGGCTGGGAATGTAGCTCAGTGTTAAGGGCACCCCTTAGTTCAAACCCTAGGGTATCTTCCCCATCCATGTATCTTCTTTTTCTTTTTTATGGTACTAGGGATTGATCCTAGGGGTGTTCTACCACTGAGCTACATCTCCAGCCCTTTTTGCTTTTTAAGACGGGATCTAAATTAGTGACCCAGAGTGGCCTTGAACTTGTAATCCTCCTACCTTAGCTGCCTCAGTTTCTGGGATTACAGATGTGAGTCACTGCACCCAACCATGTCCCTTTTTCCCAAAAATGTGACTTGGTTCCCCATTGGTCACAGCTGAACCAGACAGAGTGAGTAGATTTCTAAGCAGGGCTGAATAAATCAGACTATTTCTGGGATTTTAGAATTGGGACAGTCATTCTGGTGAACATAGGTTTGGAAAGGTGAAGAGCCCTGTTCTAAGTTCTACAGTTGGATGGTGGCAGATTCAGTATTTAGTATACCTGGCTCTTAACCCGGCTGTTTCACTAAATCTTTTATTTAGGCCATAGTGCCAAAACATAGTGAACCCCTTTATTTAGTAAGTAAAAAATCCTGATATGAGCCACTGCACTTACCTGGACTAGTTCCACAGCTGTGGAAGAAAAATCACAACAGTAAACAAAGAGGCCTGGGTCACTGAAATGGGCAGGAAAAAAAAAAAAAAAAACAGAAAAATTAGGCTGCAAAATAGACTGTGTCTATTTTCTTTCTTGTAGCAGATAAAGTATCAAGTGGCAGAGTACTGTACCATTCATTCAAAGAAACCGTACCTATTAGTTACAACACATATTTATTAAAAATATTACTTTGCCTTCAAATCAAGCTGGGCCTGATGGCAGCCTTCCTGCATCTTTCTGCTGAGCTTCCTTAGAACTTTCTCCATGCTAGGAATACATCTGTGCCTACAAGCCTGGCTCCACTACACAGTGAATGGTGTGAAGACAGAGATTACATCTTATACTTAATTCCTTCGTCAAATGCTGAAAGTCTACTTTGCTGGACATCATCCTAGATATTGGGGCGAAAAAGAACAAGATAAAATCCCTGTTTTTATTCCTTTTTTTTTTTTTTGGTACCAGGGATTGAACCCAGGGCACTTAACTATTGAGCCCTTTTAAAAAATATTTTATTTAGAGTTAGGGTCTCGCAAAGTTGAAGCTGACTTTAAATTTATCCTCCTACCTCAGCCTCCTGAGCTGCTGGGATTACAGGCATGCATGACTGCACCCAACAAGGCCATAATTATTGTTGTTGTTATTATTATTAAATATTTATTGTTCAGCTGTAGTTGGACACAATACCTTTATTTCACTTATTTATTTTTTACGTGGTGCTGAGGATTGAACCCAGTGCCTCACGCATGCTAGGGAAGCGTGCTACCACTGAGCCACAACCTCAACTCCAAGATACATGTTTTTTTTAGAGAGAGAATTTTTATTTATTTATTTATTTTTAGTTTTTGGCAAACACAACATCTTTGTTTGTATGTGGTGCTGAGGATCAAACCCGGGCCGCACGCATGCCAGGCGAGCGCGCTACAGCTTGAGCCACATCCCCAGCCCAAGATACATGTTTTTAATGAGGTTAATGTGTCACTAAATCCTGTTAGTAAGTATTATGTGCTAAATTGGCAAATTATTAAATAGAACCTTTGAGAAACAATGGGTTTACAGGAAAATATGGAATTAGAATGTCATTTCCACCTGTGGCTTGAGAATAGCTGTGTAAGAGATGTAGTTTGATTCTGAGTTTCTAAAACTATAGAAATTTTGTGAGTGGTAGGAGTGTTTCATGTTATTTGTAATAAGTCTCTTTGGGATCACACTGAATTTATGCTAAAGTTAGAGTAGAGCCCCTAGGTAGCCAAAAAAGATCAAGTGATTAGTCAATCACAGTGGTGAAGACCTGCAATCCCAGCAACTTGGGAGGCTAAGGCAAGAAGTTGATTTGTGGACGGCCAGCCTCAAGAAATTTAGCAAGACCCTAAGCAACTTAATAAGACCCTGTCTCAAAATAAAAAAAATGGCTGGGGATATAGCTCAGTGGATAAGAGTGCTTGCCCCACATGCACAAGGCCCTGGATTCAATTCCCAGCACCAAAAATAAATAAATAAATAAACAAACGAATAAACACACACACACACACACACACACACAGGTGAAGCACCCCTGGGTTAAATTCCTAGCACCAAAAAACCATACCAAAACAAAAAAACAAAAAACTCCCACAAAAAACCCCAAACCAACCAACCAACAAAAACCCAAACCTACTTATCTACTGTCTCAATCAAGTGATTTAGAGGGTTCTAACTTCCAGCTCCCTACCAACCTGCCAGGAAGGGAATAGGGGAAGGATATTAAGCTCTATAAAGATTCCTGATGGAGGGTAGGTGGGGATGATTTTTGCCGAGCTACTGGGTTGGTGAACACATCCACAGGCTGGGGGTGTATGGGAGGAAGAGATACATCCCATAATTCCATTGGGGCTGTTCTGAAACTCAGGATTTTCAGGTCTCACCCTATATATCTCTTCATTTGGCTGTATATCTGTACCCTTTATAATATCTTTTATAGTGAACAGGTAAATGTAAATAAAGTATTTCCCTGAGTTCTGTGATCTACTCTTAAGAAATTACCCAAACCCAAGGAGGGTATTGTGGGATCCCAGATTTATAACCCACAGGAAAAAATGTGAAGGCCTATATTTGCAACTGGCATTTGAAGTGGGAGTGCAGTCTTTTGGAATCCGACGCTAACTCCAGGTAGACAGTATCAGAATTGAATTGCAAGAACACAGCTGGAGTTGGAGATTTGGTCAGTATGTGGAAAACAGCACACACATCTTGTGTGAGAATTGTTCTGAGTACAGCAATATTTGAGTTTATATCAGAAATGGAGATAGGTCAGCTTTCTCAACTCTACTCAGGGATTAATGATAATCTAGTGATTGTTACAGAGGTCAGGAAGGCAGAGAAATAGATTAATGAACATGTTCTAAGCATCTTAGAAAGCACTATATATTAACACTATAACAGGTTTTTAAATCTAGTTTCCCCCATGACAAAGGTAGCTTACACAGCAAATTAAATTAAAACGACTCACAAATGGAGAATGTTGAAACCTAAATTCCTTGTAATCCATGTTTCTGGATAACCACTGCTGACAGTTTAATACAATAAGAGTTCTAAAAGAACAAGGGACCCCCAACCTTTGTCCTCTTTGCTGCCATATAGTTACACTTGACAATACACTTACTTGTTAGTTTGTAAAATTGGAAAGACTGTATTTCCCACACCACAACCAACCTAGAGATAGAAATGAGCTATTAGTCATAGAAACTATTAATAATATTCACAAAACCATTAACTCTCTAAAGCTAAATAATCAATAAATAACTTTGCTAATTGTACAAGGGAAGGTATAGTGACTAGAGCTTACATTATTTAATCTTGATGTTCTTAAAGAGGTAGCCATAAAAGGCAGGAGCATGGGCTTTCATTAGAAGGGAGCTGGTTCAGAATATGGGCATGGGCTACCTTATTTATTTTTTAACAGTATTAGGAATAGAACTTGGGGTTTCATGAATGTTAGGCAAGTGTTCTACCAGTGAGATATATCCCCTGATACTTTTTTTTTTTTAAATTATTTTTAAGTTGCCCTAGATGGCCTTTAACTTCTGATTCTCCTACCTTAGGCTCCCTAGTAGCTGGGATTACAGCCTTGTACCATCACATCTTGCTATCTTTACTTTTTAAGTCCTAGCAAATGTCCCATCGATAAAAATATTTTCCTACTGAGTTCCACTGTACTATTACTGGAAAAACAGACTGAATTGAAAACTACAAAAAAGGATACCTTATTAACTTTGTCCTAAATACAGCACTGCCTGTGGTAATAAAAACAGCAAGCATATACTGATACTGATGGCTTACTACATGTCAGACACTATTCTGGTATGTTTACGTACATTATCTCAATCTTCCTAACAATGAGGAGGCCAAGAAGCAACAAATCCCAATACTCTGGGAAGCGCAGGCATTTGTCCAAAATCTCTCCAGAGAGGGGGTAGGGGTGTAGCTCAGTGGTAAAGCACTTGCCTAACTTGTACAGGCCTTGGGTTCAGTCCCTAGCAACATACACATACACACACACACACACACACACAGTCACACCACAGGACTCAATTGCAAGGCCAACCAGCTCCAGAATTAGCTTTCAGTGGACTGTATATTTCCTTTGTTGTGAAATTCTATTATAATACCCATCTAAACATCTTTCCAGTTCAAAAAATACAGGCAATTCCAGGCCAATATAAGGGTCAAGTTTAGTCAACTTCATCAGATAAGAGTCATTTTTGTGGTAAGGCTTTCTATTTTATTTTGTGTACACAATGTGACAGCTTCACTAAGTCCACTAAAAGGAACCTAAAGGAAGTTACCTCAAGTATTCGGTAAGTGGCTGAGGATCCAGGAAACTCATCAGCACAAATTTCCAGGTGACTGAGTTTCTGTGTTACAGTCTCCTCCACAGAAAACATCTGTGCTGTATGTTCAAGGGTGCTAGAAGAACACTTGTGTTGTTCTCCCACTGTTAAGCCATGTCCATCTTCACTGCTTCTACATGCAGAGATTTCATTCCTTTTGTTCTCCAACATTAAATCCTTTAAGTGATTTTGATTTTGGCTAGGTGCCAGTTCGGGGAATTCAGTAAAAAGCCAGTGTCTATCCTTGAAAAATCTATTTTCATGAATTTTGTAGAAGTCATTCCAGTATTTATGGGCATTGACTTCATAATCAACTGTAAAGAGTCAAGAAAGAATTTTATGAGTCAGGTCTCAAATATTTTACATTATCTAATGTCAATTATCCTGCTTCACTAAATATCATTTTACACTAAAAGTAACCACATGTAGAGCCATAGTCACAGAGCTGAAGGCACTTGAGGTAATTTAGTTCTGTTATTATTACACCCAAATCCCCCTGATTTGTCATTCCCAGGGAGTTTAATTTCTGTTGGAACCATCACACAGGGAACTTCCTACCTATCATTTTCCTTTCATGTCTCTGGATGGCTACTGAGTATTTGAAAATTCTAAAATTAAGCAAATCCCTAGCATCACACACACACACAAGCAAATATCTGTCCAATCACTTTTAGTAAAAAGATCCTATTGTTTCTTGGGGCCAAAATAAACAACTTTTTAGTATTTGTGGGCAGCTACTTTCCCCTCTAAATATTTTATTTTACAAACTAAATGTCCCAGGATCTTGGGTTGTTCAAGTAAACTTAATGGTTACCTATGTAATCAGAGATCTTTGTTAAATATGTCTCTCTCTCTCTGGTTCTTCAGAGTATGAAGTCCAGATAGGAATTCAATATTACTAGTAACTAAAAATGAAACAAGGCTCAAAATAGACAACATAAAAATGTCTGTAGGTGAGAAGGGTTTTAAGGAACCAAAGAGACTAAAGGAAGAAATGTGGACTGAAGCTGGGCATGGTGGCTCATGCCTGTAATCCCAGCTACTCAGGAGGCTAAGGAAGAAGGATTGCAAGTTTGAGGCCAGTATAGGTTGCAAGACAAAAAAGAAAAAGTTAGAAACATTTAAAGTGATTAAGGCAGTCTCAGATTTGTTTACTTCTTTGCCAATACAAGGTCCCAACTTGTGTAGGGAGTTTTTTTTTTTTTTTAAAGTAAGGAATTGGATTTTAGTCCCTTCACTTATATTACTGACAGCTTACCTTTGGGCAAAACACTTAATGTCCTGTAGTCCAAGCTTCTTTCCCGCCCCCTTCTTTTTGAGACAGGATCTTCCTATGTTTCCCAGGTTGGCCTTGAACTCCTGGGCTCAAGTGATCCTCCTAAGCAGTGGGATAACAGGCGCACACTGCTGCACTCAGCTAAACTTTCTGTAACTGTATAAAGATGAAGTGTACTACATGATTTTCAAAATCCCTTTAACTCTACCTTGCTTTACCTAGCCTGTCAAACTATGCTGGGTGAATAATCTGTAATTGGAATATTTTTATTATTGTATAGAACTCTTTTAGTGGGCATTACTCTCAAATTTCTAGTTGGACCATCAATTGTCTCTTAGGACATAGGACCAACTAGTCTCTAGGTTAATTTTGCCTACTCTCCAAGGAGGGACCTGTTTTCCCTTGGCCAGACTTCTGTATTCTGCTTCATGCATCTTTCCTTGAGAAGTTCTAAGTCCTCAAACCCATCCCATAAGGAAAAGACACATAAATACTAGCTGTTACTCCTTCCCAACAATATTTAAAATCTGTTCACTTAAATCTATCTTCAATGGCAACTCTCAAGTACCATGTAAATCATGAAGAAAATACATTCACTAAGATAACGTACCATACAGTTTCCAAAGACTAACCACATCAATATAGTACTAGTCAACAAGGTTAAAAACTCAATTGCTAGAATAAGTTGTCCTCCCCCAAGTATAAAAAAAAAAAAAAAAAACCCCACAGGAAACCCTAAAGTTAAAACATGCTCTATGCCCCCAGCAAGGCTAGGTTAAAAAAAAAAACAACCGCCTTTTCCCTTCTTGTTCCTCCCTCCCCCTCCCGTTCTACTCCCGAGTTCTTCATCAGGCAAGTAACCAAGGACCTTGGCAGCTGCGGTTCGTTGGCCTCTCTGCAAGGCACGTTCTCTAGCACGCTGGCTGACATACCAACCACCGACGCCCGCCCGGGCGCACCTTGTTTCTCTGGGCACACCCGCTGAGAGCTGTTCTCCTGCACTTTCCTCTCTGCCGCCGCGGCTTGCTCTTCCGACCACTCCACATCGTCCCTGGGAAAACCAAACAGGCAGCTTAGGGGCCTCTCATCTCAGCTGCGGGCAGGGTCAGTCGCCGGCCGGGAAGCAAGTCTTGCCGGGAGGAGCGCGCCATGGCCAGGGCAGTTCTACTAGTGGCCTGTGGTCAGGGGCTTCTCCAAGCGCTCGGAGCAGCGGGACGGGGGCGAGCCGCAGGCCGGACGAGGGGCAGGGCAGTTACCAGGCATTGTGGTGGAAGACGCGCGCTGGGTCGCTCAAGAACCGGCTGCCGAACTGTTGCCTCTTCCCGCCCAAGGCGGCCGACACACCTTCAGGACACGAGTCAGCCATGGTACCGGAGCCGGAAATGCCTTCTTTCCGTAACGCGAGAACCCCTGTGGGCCACGCCTCTTCCTGGACGCCTGGGACCTGGGCGGGAAAAGAGGGAGGCGGGGCGGCCAACGAGTAGGCGAAGGGAGCTGGCGGAAAGGGTGCTAGCCTAGTCGTTTCTTCCCGACGAGTTGTTGGTGGGCGGGCAGGGTGTGAAGAAAGTGGGAGACATCCCTCTTGAGCCCCAGTTCAGTGCTGGGCTCCTAACAGGTTCCCCAGTTGTGTGGAAAAATCTTGAATCACTCTAGTGAGGGTACGTGGCCTCACTGTGGAGCTGATAGCCGGAGAACTGAGGAAGGTAGCAAGCCGCGGAATAACTGGAATGACAAGCGAGCGCCACTTCCGCCATCAGCACCTTTTTTTAAAAAAACAATCTGTAGCCTGGTTTAATACACCCAAGATCTAGGGCTTGGGTTCAGTCCCCTCCAGGGGTGGGCGTGGGGACCGTAATACACACATACCAATAGTCTGTAGTATTAATACATTTTCAGCTTACATTTCTATTTCCAGAACTACTACGAGTTGATTCACAAGAGTCTAGAAATAGGCTGTCAATATAAAATAAGGCCCGGCATGGCGATAGCACGCCTGTAATCCCATTTTCTCTGGAGTCTGAGATGGGAGGAGGCCAGCCAGGGCAATTGAATGAGATCCTGTTTCTGAAGGACTGGGGATGTAGATCAGCAGGCAAGGCCCTGGGTTCAATCCCGGGTACAGAATTTCCCTATCTATCTATCTGGTTGAGAAGACTTTCAAGAGAAGTGTGATGACTACTACCTAGGAAAGGGTTATTTAATTAGTGCAGTGCTAGACATGGTACATTGGTATTCTATTGCAGATTCTTTGTATAGGTAAAACTAAGGAGAGCAACGAGAGAGTACTTTTCCCATTAAAGAAGCGGAAACAAACCCAAAGCGCTCTCTATCCATGAAGAAAAAGACATGGATTGATTAAAAAAGAGAAGATAAGATACTCAAGAACATATACTTTGTTTGAAGACAAAGTACTTTTGTTATTTTCATGGACTTCTGAAGCGTTTTGAACAGAAGCTCCATTCCAAAATACAAATACAAGAATTTCTTTCTTTTCTCAAGGCCAGCTGTTTGCAGATAAGGTGGCTGAATTAAATTTATTTTTGACATCATCTTCTTTCATCTAAGGGCTATTTTTCTACCCTCATCAAAAGCTGTTAGAGTTTCCATTCCACAGTTCCACTGCATATCTTTTCTTGTTTTCTTTTTGGTACAAGGGATTGACTCCAGGGGCGTTTACCACTGGGCTACATTCACAGCCACCTCCCACCCCCATTTTTTAAAAAATTTAATTTTGAGATAGGGTCTCCTTAAATTGCTCAGAACCTCACTAAGTCTTGGCTTTGAACTTGTGATCCTCCTGTCTCAGCCTCCTGAGTCACTGGGATTACAAGCACACTCCATCATGCCTGGCTTCCATATTTTCTCCTTTTTTTTTTTTTTTACTTTAAAAGACTATTTTAATTTAGCAGACAAATGTAAGGCCATTTATTTCCAAAAAAAGTGTCTAAATTTACCATTTCATTTTTTTTTCTGTTTTACATAAACTCATTAGGAGCCTAAAATCTAGTCCAGCAAGTTGGGGATCTGACCAAGGTCAATCTGATGGTTTAGAATTAGACCACTTGCACGGTTTAAGTTAGCTGTGAGAGGGACACAATCATGTTGGCGGAGTCGTGGCTCTATGGGTAGATGCATTTGGAGATAGATCCACCACATATTTTCTTGCAGAGAGATTCTTTTCTGTATTTGTTGGCAGTATTCTATTAGTTCCAAAATTGGTCATTTAAAATATTCAACAGTTTGGGTCTTTTTTGTAAGATGTTTTAAAATATCCTAAACTCAATTTTATAGAATTATCTTTGGTTGGCTTGTACAACAGAATCTTTTGAAGAATCTGAAATAATTGTTCAGAAGAAGTTTGGAATACACGCTGGGAGTTCTGTGTGACTGGATTGAAACACTATTTCAGAGGAGCTAAGGGTCCCTCTGGTGGTGAGTAATGAGAACTCTTCTAGCTCAGCAAATGTTATGGGTTCAAAGCTTGTGAAGAAGGTTAATAACTCTTGTTCCTTATGTGTTAACCCAGGACAAGGATAATTAATTATTTCACGCTTTTCTTTCAGTTCGTGTCAGAATTTTGGGCTGTTTAAGCATGAGCTCTGGGGAAGAATGACTGGGGAAGGATCCTGATGTCCTAATTTGCTCTGTTTAAGGTTTCACAGAGCCAGATCATTCTTCTAGTTGCCCTAGGTAATTGTAAAACCTGGTTTAACAACTTTATCTATTTTTTGTGGTACTGAGAACTAAACTCCTGGGCACTGTACCACTGAGATGCATCCCCAGTCTTTATGTCTTCTTATTTTGAGACAAGGTCTTACTAAGCTGCCTAGGCTTAAGCTCCTGCCTTAGACTCCCAAGTTGCTGGTATTATAGGCATGCACCACTATGCTCAGCTTCTTTAGTATTTTTTGAGATGTGGTTTTGCTATGTTGCCAAGGCTAGCCTTGAACTTGTTTTGTTTGTTTGTTTTTTGTTGTTGTTGTTTTGGTACCAGGGATTGGACCCAGGAGCACTAACCACTGAACACCATGCCCAGCCCCTTTTTATATTTTATTTAGAGACAGGGTCTCACTGATTTGCTTAGGGCCTTGCTAAGTTGCTGAGGCTGGTTTTGAACCCGTGATCCTCCTGTCTCAGCCTTCTGAGCTTCTGGGATTATTAGCTTTGAACTTGTGGGCTCAAGCAATCCTCCTGCCTCAGCCTCCTGACTAGCTGGGACTACAGTTATGTGCTGCTATGCCTGGCTTGCAAATATATTTAGATTTTTTAATATTTGGGGGAGCACAATTATTTTAATGCTATTTTTATAATTGTTTTGGGAGGTCTTCACTACCTTCACTACTTTTTCCTGGAATTTTATAATTTTACGTTATAATCCACTGTCCTTATCAGTATTAAACATGTCTTTCCCTTTTTCTGGATCATATTTTTCTAGAATAATGATGTAAAAAGCATTAGTTCTACCTGGGAATGGTGGCTCATGCTTGTAATCGCAGTAACTCACAAGGTTAAGGCAGGATGATTGTAAATTTGGGGACAGCTGGGCAATTTAGTTTCAAAATAAAATAAAAAGGGTTGGGGATGTAGCTTAGTGATAGAGCTCTTGACTAGTATGTGTGAAGCCCTGGGTTCAATCCCTAGTAACTAACACACACACACACACACACACACAGAAACTAAAATGGCTGGGGGTATAGCTCAGTGTTACAGCAAACTTGGGTTCAATCCCCAGTACCAAAAACAAAACAAAACAAAAACAAAAAACCCCACATTTGTTCTAGACTAATGTTTAGTTTTTTGGTCTTGCATCTTTTTCAGTAAATATAAACCTGGCTACTGTTCAAGAAACCTATAGGGGCTAGAAATGTAGCTCAGTGGTAGAGTGCTTACCTAACATGTGTAAGGCACTGGGTTCAATTCTCAGCACTGCATATAAATAAAGTTTCATCAACAACTTAAAATTAAAAAAAATAAATAAACCCACAAATAGGAATTACCTTGCAAATGATTCATGACTGATCATGATCTAAACAAATTTAAAGCAACTGTAATATTCAGAGGATTAGCTTTAGCTCCGTTTCCATTTATTAACTCCAAACTGAGAATGTATAAAGATAAATAATAATTAATAAAAATAAAAATTTATTAATTATTAATATTTAATAAATTACAGTCTTCCCAATAACTTGTATTATAGTTATATATTTGTTTCTTCATTAGATAATCTCTGCCTTTTATTAAATTGATTGTATGGGGCTGAGGAGGTAGCTCAGTGGTAGAGAACTTGACTAACATGCCTGAGGCCCTGGGTTAGGTCCCCAACACTGGGTGGCATGGTGGGGGAACATTTGTACCATATGATGATTTGGGGTGGATTAGCCACACACCTGCAAATCATTCTCTTGGATAATTCTTACAAATAGAGGATCTCTTCCCTTACATTTTTAGATCAGAATTAGCTATGGAAACAACACTTTTGATATCTTGACTATATATTAAAAGTCTAGTATAAACTGGGTATGGTGACTCACACCTGTAATTTGGATTTGGGAGACTAAGGCAGGAGGATTGAAAGTCTGAGACCACCTCAGCAACTTAGCAAGGCCCTATACAACTTAGTGAAACCATGTTGTAAAAAATAAAAGGGGTTGGGGATATGGCTCAGTGGTGAAGTGCCCTTGAGTTCAATCCCAGCTACCCCCCTAAAAAAAAAGTTGATTAATGTTGGTACAATCCCAAAATTGTCTATGATCAGTTCTCAAGAACCATAGGGGTTCTAAGAACTATAAGAGTGGAGCTGAGCATGGTGGCACATACCTCCAGTAGCTTAGGAGGCTGAGGCAGAGGGATTGCAAGTTCAAAGGCAGCATCAGCAACTTAGCAAGACACTGTCTCAAAAGCAAAAAACAGATTGGGGATGTGGCTCAATAGTTGAGTGCCCCTTGGTTCAATCCCTGTTACCAAAAGAGGGGGAAATGAGTGGAACTAGGAAGAATAAAAATGTAACAGATATGATGATAAACATTTAAATATTATTTAAAATAGGATATTTTATGTAATGTACATTTAAAAAATATTTTTAGTTATACATGGACACAATACCTTTATTTTATTTATTAATGTGGTGCTGAGGTTCAAACCCAGTGCCTCTCTCATGCTAGGCAAGTGCTCTACTACTGAGCACAACTCCAGCCCTTATGTAATGTACATTTTACCACAATAAAAATTACAGTCTTCCCAATAACTTGTATTATAGTTATATATTTGTTTTTTTCATTAGATATGTGTTCTTTAGTAGCAAAGGTAATAGATGAGATCAACTATGGGTAGGAGCAAGCCAAGAGACAGGTGTGTGGCTAAGGACACTTAGGAACATCCAAATTTAATCACCATTCCTCTGGGGGTGGTGGTGGTGACATTATTCCCTGAAATGGAAGGGTTATTGTCATGCACTGCCTCTAACCACTTCCATGTACATTTGAAAACCTAGTCCCTGGCCTGGGGTTGTAGTTTAGTGGTAAAACACTTGCCTAGCATGTGTGAGGCACTGGTTCTATCCTCAGCACCACATAATTATAAGTAAATAAAATAAAGGTACTGTGCCATCTACAACTAAAAGTATATTTTAAAAAAAAACAAATGGCGAATGTTTTCTCTGAAACATAAGGCGACTGACTCATAGTTGGGTAGGGAGAGGGAGCAATGGGAGGAATTGATGAACTCTAGATAGGGCAGAGGGGTGGGAGGGGAAAGGAGGGTCAGGGGGTTAGCAATGATGGAGGAATGTGATGGACATCATTATCCAAAGTACATGTATGAAGACACGAATTGGTGTGAACATACTTTATATACAAAGATATTAAAAATGTGCTCTATATGCCTAATAAGAATTGTGATGCATTCTCCTGTCATGTATTTTAAAAATAAAAGCAATTAAAAAAAAACTAGTTCCCTTTTATAATTAGTCACTCAGATGCTTACCTGTTTTTTGAACTTTCCTGCTGAGGCCCTGGCAGTTTTATGCCAGGTGGGGGCAGCAGAGTGTAGCTGGAACTAACTGTGGCATCTACTTATCAAAGATTTAGGAAAGGAAACCATTTTATGACTTACAGATTTTTACTGGTCAGAATCCAAAAGATGGCAAAATTTCCAGCTGCTAAGAATGTACTAGACAAAAGCAAGAAATCATAATTTTGATAACTGAAAAAGTAGTTTTTGATGAGTTGTTTAGGAAATGTAGAAATTTCATTGTTGAAACACTCTAAAACCTTTCCGTTTTCTTTTTCTTCCTGTCTCTCTGTCACATTCACTGACATCCGATGCGGAAGAGAATCCGGAGTTAAGTGGGAAATTTTTATTGGTGTAGGCATCATATAACCGTAAGTCCTTAGGAGAAAGTAATTCTTGGCAAACATTCCAGGACCATGTATAAGTAGAAAAGGTGTCATAAAAGGACTCATTGTTAGTGTCTATTCCAATCAGATCCCCTCGTACCTTCTGCCAGAGATTTAACATTTCTTTCCGATGTGCAAGGGCAACTCCTAAATTATAGTTTTCTGTAGCTCTCTTTACCTGCAATGAGAACATAGTTTACTGTAGTTACTGCCAAATATCTTTGACATGTGGACTACAATCATAGTAGCCCAAGAGTTATGTATTTGAGAATCATTGAGTCTGTACATTAGGTAGTGCCTCTTAAGGACATTTGAGCTAAGAGTTGCTGGACAATCAAAATGTGTTGCTTAGGAATAATGAGATAATAAGAAATTTTATAAAAATATAATGGACTAAAATAAGGAGAAGTATGGGATGGAGATAGGTTGAATTGAGTACCAATTATATCTCCTAAAACAGGAGAACCAGGGAAAAGAGTTAAGCTAAGTCCTTAAGTATTTGGTAATATTGAGGGAGTGAGTGGTGATGGGAAGGTGTTCTAGGGAGGAGACAGAATAAACAAAGGCTGAAATACAGTCAGCATTCTGGAATTGATCAGAGGATTCAGGCACTTTGGTATTGCTGGAGTGTCACATTGAAAGTGGGAGGGAAAGCTGGTCATAGTGACACACGCCTGTGATCCCAGTGACTCCAGAGGCTGAGGCAAGAGGAGTACAAGTTGGAGGCCAGCCTTGGCAACTTAGCAAGACGTTGCCTCAGGTGAAAAATAAAAAGGCTGGGGATGTTGTTCAGTAGTAGAATGCCTCTGGGTTCAATCCCCAATATTGAAAAAAAAGTGGGAGGAATGGAGTAACAATGGAGAATCAGCAGACTCTTAAAACTTAATCTTATAAATCAGTGATTCAGTATGGGTGGGGAGAGTCATTTCCTTATGAAAATCATGTTGTAATGAAATAAATCCTTCAGTGTGTTTAGTAGAAAATTGAAAAAGCCTGCTGTGGCTGAGAGGGAAGCCTTCGCATTTTAGCAGGATAGTGACCTGGTTGGATCTTCATGTTAGATCATTGGTAGCTGTGTTGAGATTGGTTGGAGGGGAGCAGCTACATGGCTAAGGATAGTGGGCTGGAGGCTGTTATACAGGTGAGACCTGTGGAGGGCCTCAACTAAGGCAGAGGTAATAGGGATGGGATGAAGATAGATTTCAAAAATTCCCCAGAATGAGAGGATGGGTTTGGGGACTGGTAGATGTGTGGAATGAGGAAAAATGCAAAAATTAAGGATAGTTCCTGGCCTTAAAGCTTCAGTGATTGAGTGGATTCTGTATCAACAACTGAGATGCAGAATCCCTAGGTAGAGCCAGTTTGCTGCAGAAGATGAGAAGTGGTTAGAGCATGTTGAATTTTATGTGCTATGAGACAGCATAGAGGTGGAACTTTTTTCAGGTAGATCATTGAGACAAAGTATAGGAAAAAAGTCTAGGCTTGGGACAAATTTAAGTATCATTATATGGGTGATGGCTGAAACAAGGAAGGTAGATTGAAATAGCTCAAAGAATGTCACTCTAGCTATTCCTTTACCTGATACAGAGATGCCAGTGTTCTTCTGTGACTGGATTACAAGGATGCCAAACTATTTGATCTCAAGCTTCTTAGCCCTTGGGGCAGTTGGTGCCCCAGGGATGGAGGCCTCTAGCTATATGCAGCTTCCTTTTACTTTAGTGTGCGTGTGACCACGATGAGACTGTTGGGAGCTCGCTCCTCTGTTTCTGTGGCGTGTACTACAGAACACACATAATTCATTTATCCCAACCCAAGCCGAGGAGAGCTTGATTGTTAGTATCAAGTGCAGAGGGACAGGAGGCTGAGGCAATAGGATCACAAATTCAAGGTCAACCTTGGCAACTTAGTGAGTCTCTGTCTCAAAAAAATAAAAAGAAGTGGGGATGTAGCTCTTTGGTAGAGAGCTTCTGGGTTCAATTCCTAGTATGGCCCAAACACACGCACACACACAAAAAAAAAATGCAGAAAAGAAGTGGCAAAAAGTAATTATATCCTGCTCTTTTTCTGTGGGGTACATAAATTGCTAAAAGTTAGGTCACAAAACTAGACAGGAAGCATAGAGTTGCTAAAAGTGTTTATTCTGGAGCCACTCTCCCCATGTTTATAATCCTTAATCTGTTCTTTACTAATTTAGTGCCTTAACCTTTTTATGCACATGACAAGGAATAATAACAGTACTTGTCTCAAAGGGTTGTTGTGATAATTAAATAAATCAGTACCTGCAGAGCACTTGTAGAATGTTTGTGTAGTGCTGTGTCTAGCACTTGCAAAGTACCTTTAAGCTATTGTTAACATTGTTAGTTGCTATAATGATGATGCTTTCATTCATCTCAATTCTGAGTACATCACTCATGGTGACAGTGGATTTATTACCTTAATTTGTTTGCTATTTCTATCATGAAACAAATGAATGTTATAGAACTGATGCTAGGTATACCTACTTAGGTGATTACCAGGATGAATCCTAACATTTAACATTTGAATCTGTTTGATTATAGAGCAAAAAATATTATCATTACAGTGGATACAAATGAGAAACCATCGTGTTTCATTTTAATTTTTTTTTGTACTAGGAATTGAACCCAAGGGTGCTCTACCATTGAGCTACATCCCTTGTCCTTTTTATTTTTTATTTTGAGACAGAGTCTTGCAAAGTTGCCCAGACTGTCCTTGAACCCATGCTCCTCCTGTCTCAGCCTCTCAAGTTGCTGGGATTACATATGTATATCACCATGATCATCTTTCTATCTTTCATTTTAAAGACAGAGAGCAGATAAAAATGCTCTTGGGTTTATGGGAGAGTATTGAAATGGAAAATATTTTTGTTAATGTGGCTGGGAAGGCGGTCAACTATGAACACTCACGTGCTGTTTAATAGCAGCTGCATCAGCCACTGTCCATCTGTGCTTTTTCTTGAGTATTTGATTGATGGCAAGGATGTCATCTGAATAGTTTGAAGAAATGTTCACAGGCTTTATGTTTGCTGCCTTTATGTACATTTAAAAAAGAAGATTAGTAATACATTTTAGTTTGAATTATACATACAAAAAGATATAATAAACAAAAATATATTTCAGTATGAGAGAATTTGCATATGATTTATAAGGTTATTGTTAAACTATTTGTCAGTTGTGTTGGAGCCCCTAGAATAGTGCCACATGTAAATTGGATATTTAGTAAAGGTTCTTTAATAATGACAAAACCTATTCATAAGAGAAATACAGATCAGATGGCTTATGGACTAGATATGGAGAATAAAGAGGAGCCAACTCCATCCTGACCCAAATGTCCCAAGCTATTACAAGCACCAAAAATGAAGGTACCCTCCACAGAGTACCACCTGTATTACTTCCAGACTTCTGACAGGCAACCCATGGCTATTTCCCCTGTACTGTGCTATTGAACAATTGCTAGTGGAAATTACATATACTGCTTGCTCTTTTTGAAAATGTCTTATCATGTAGTCCTGTCCAGGCCTTTAGTACTGCTTGACATTCTCTTTCTTCATTCACTCTTACCATAGTGGCTGCTGGAAGCCAGATCTTCAAACTTTCTCAACTGATGATTTTGGCTCTTTTTCTGTTTGTTTATGGTATTGGAGATTAAACCCAGGGCTTTGCATGTGCTAGGCAACTGCTCTACCATTGAGCTACATCCCCAGCCATTTTTATTTTTAATTTGGTGGTAGAGTCTTACTAAATTGCTCAGGCTGTCCTCAAACTTGTGATCCTCAGCCTCCTGAGTAGCCAGAATTAATTGTATGCCAACATGCCTGGCTGATCTTGTCTCTTTAAAGCTATCTAACATGAATTCTCTTAACTCTTCTGCCTACCCTATGATTTCTCCATCCTTTAACCATTTTTTCCTCTTTTCCTTTTATATGAGAAAGTTTTTCCTGATTTCCTAGGGCAAACTCAATCCTGTATTCTCTATTTGTTCCTTCCTGGGTTTTTTTGTTTGTTTGTTTTTGGTATCTGGGATTGAACCCAGAGGCGCTGAACTACTGAGCCACATCCCCAGCCCTTTTTCTTTCTTATTTTGAGACAGGGTCTTGCTAAGTTGTTTAGGGCATGGCTAAATTGTTGAGGCTGGTCTTGAACTTGAGATCCTTCTGCCTCAGCTGTGGAATTACAGGCATGAACCATTATGCCTGGTCCTTCCTGGGATCTTATCCCTTCACTTTTCCTTTCTCTAAGGGCCAGCTTCGTGGACATGTGATCTGTACAATTATATAGGGGTCACACTTAGGAATGCCCTGCATTTGGTTTAATGTTCTGTTATTGCTGTCTTGAAATGCCTTTGTGTATGTGTGTGTGTGTGTGTGTGTGTTGCTAGGAATTGAAGTCAGGACCCCATGCATGCCAGGCAGGTGTTCTACCACAGAGCCAAATCTCCAGTCCTCTATGGTTGCTTTTTTTTTTTTTTAATATATTTTAGTTGTAGATGGACACAATACTTTTATTTTATTTGTTTATTTTTATGTGGTGCTGAGGATCAAACCAGTACCTCATGCATGCTACGCAAGCACTCTACCACTGAGCCACAACCCCGGCCCTATGGTTGCTTTTAAAGTGTTTTTTTCCATGAACTTTAATTTCACTGCAGTATTTCAAGTTGGTTTTGCATTTATGTACCTTGCTCCAGAGTGCTTTCTTTAATCTAAGAATTCATTTTTTTTCATCACTTTAGATAATCATCAGTTTATGTAATTCTCAGCCATTATCTATTCAAATATTGATTCTTCTCCACTCCATTTTTTTTTTCCTTTTGGAGCTCTTTTTGTATTCTGTTGGAATTGCTCATGTTACCCTTCATGTTTATTATCTTTTCCTTTAGTTTTTCTTTGTGTTGCAGTTTAGGTAAGTTCCTCAGCTCTGTCTTCCAGTTCACAGTCTTCTTACTATAAATAATCTACTGTTTATTTTTTTTAATTAAATGCTGTATTTAAAAAATATTCATTTTTAAATTGTAGTTAAACACAATATCTTTATTTTATTTATCTATTTTTATGTGGTGCTGAGGATCAAATCCAGGGCCTCACATGTGCTAGGTGAGTGCTCTATCACAATCCCAGCCCCTGAATGCTATATTTTTCATCTCTAGTAGTTCTATTTGGTTCTTTTCAAATGAGCCCTCTTCCCCCATTCTGTATACTGCCCCCACCCCCAATTAGGTTTTCTATTCCTTTTGAAATTTCTCTTTAATTATTTAAAGACAGTAGATTTAATTTAATAATAATAATAATATTTTATTATTATTATTATTGGTACTGGGAATTGAAGCCAAGTGTTCTTTACCACTGAGCCACATCCCCAGTCCCTTTTATTTTTATTTTGAGAGAGAGTCTCACTAAATTGTTAGGGCCTTGCTAAGTTGCTGAGGCTGGCCTTTAACTTGAATTCTTTCTGCCTCTGCCTCCCAAGTCTCTGGGATTATAGGTAGGTGCCATCACACCCAGCAAAAAGTAGTATTTACTTTAATAGTGTTTTAGACATTAACTCTGTTATATTGAATTATTGTAATGCTACTCCTATTTATTTTATTGCTGACTTTTTCAGAGTAGATTATTTCCTTGTATGACTGTAATTTTTGCCTATCTTCCAAAGAATTGTGTGTGTGTGTGTGTGTGTGTGTGTGTACCATGTGATTTCTAGGATTTGGATATGTTTGTGTCTGGCAGACTTCTCAAGGTAGCTATAGTCTGAAGTCGGTTTTTAAATTTTTAATATATATATATTATTTTACTTCAGTGCTGGGGATCAAACTCAAGGCCTCATGCTAGGAAAGCACTCTACTGCTGAACTACATCCCCAGACCCTAAAAACAGTTTTTAGGATAATTTTAAAGCTTAAGAGATTTCATCAAATATGGAAATTATAAATTCAGATAGCATATCCATGTATTTCACAATCTCAACTTTGAAATTTATCACAAAATACTTGCTTTTCCATTCAGAGCTTTGGCAAATCACATTTATGCCTATGTAGAATTTTTTACTTCTCTTTTCACTGAGAGGGCAGCCCTTCCAAAATTTGTTTTTTTGTAGAGGTCTCAATTGCCAGCTTATCTCTAAGGGTACATATTTCCTCATCCTGGATGGTTCCCCCTACCCTAGCCCCTAGACATGAGGGCCTGGAGCCATGTGCTCTACCTGCCTCCCCTCCCTGGCCACTCCCAGGGCCACTTTATGAGCTTGTCATTCTGGCTTTAGGTTCTCGCTTGCATTTTGTTTTTATTTTTCATTTTTAAAAACTTATGTATTTATTGCTATTGGTAATTGAACCTAGGAGAGCTTACCACTGAGCTATATCCCCAGTCCTTTTTATTTTTATTTTGAGACAGGGTCTTGCTAAGTTTGCTAAGGTTGGCCTTGAATTTGAGATCCTTCTACCTCAGCCTCCCAAGGCACTGGGATTACAGGTGTGCACCACTGTGCCAGCTCTCTCTTGCTTTCTGAAACTTGAGAATTTTCCTTGATTGGAATACTTTATTTATTGTACTGGGAATTGAACCCCAGTGAGCTACATACCCAGTCCTTTTTTGTTTTTTATTAGATACAGAGTCTTGCTAAATTGCCAAGGATGGCCTCTAACCTACAATCCTTCTGCCTCAGCCTCCTGAGTAGCTGAGATTATAGGTGTGCACTGCTGTGACTTGCCAAATACATTTTGTAATGTTTGTCATTTAATTTAATTTAATATCATCCAGTATTTTTATGTTCTCATGGGGAATCTGTGAGTGGGTTGGGCCATGAAGAACAGCTGGATGGGTGGGGGAGTGTTCATATAGCTCCGTTACTTTCATTCTAAAACTTGAAAATCCCATTTCCTGGTTCCAATTAACATTTACAAGTATATAGTAGATTAGATGTGTAGTATATTAGAATAGATCTACCACACAGTACATGAGATCTCATAATATATATATATACATTATTTAACATACTATATATTTATACATATATTCTATTATTATAAATGTAAATTTATATCTTATAGCATATTAGATGAAGTATAATATATATGGACATAAATATTAGATAAAGTGGATATAGATGTAATATACATATATATGCAAAATATGTGATCTATTACATGAAGAATGTAATATATTAGCTGGTAATAAATGTTATGGAGAAAATCAGGGAAGGGGATGGAGATATTGGAAGTTGTAGATTTTTTATTTCTTTGATTAAATTTTTTTTCTGTACCAGGGATTGCACCCAGGGTCACTTAACATTGAGCCACATCCACAGCCCTTTTTTATTTTAGAGACAGGGTCTTGCTGAGTTGATGAGACTGGCTATGAACTCACAGTCCTCCAGCCTCAGCCTCCGAAGCCAATGGGATTACAGGAGTGCACCACTACACCTGGCCTAATTATTTTATTTTATTTTATTTTGGGGGGTCAAGGTTTCCCTACATTGCTTAGGTTCTCTCACCAACTTCTGAGGCTGGCCTTCAACTTGTGATCCTCCAATCTCAGCCTCCTGAGTTATTAGGATTAGAGGTGTGCACCATTAGAGGTGTGATTTTATTTAAATACATGTTAAATTTATTGAGATGAAAATTCATATAACATAAAATTATCCATCTGAAGTGAACAATTAAAGTGGCACTTGCACATTAGCAATGTGGGGATTATCATTTTAATATGATTGCTAGAGAAGGCATTCTGAAATGACATTTGGGACAAGACCTGAAAGAGGTGAGGGAGAGAGCTATGCAGATGTCTAGGTAACAGCATTCAAGCAGAGGGAAGAACAAAGCTAGAGTGAGATGGAAGCAAGTCTGATATGTAAGGCACAGTAATGAGACATTGCAGGTAGAGTGAAGTGTGCTGGAAGGTGAGCAGTGGGAAGAGAGATCGTTGGATCTGCAGGGAGGGTCTAAGTCGGTGATGTCCAATAGAACTTTTCACAGTGATGTAAATGTCCTATTTTTGTGCCATCTAATATGGTGTCCATTTGCCACATATGGCTACTGAGCATTTGAAATGTGGTTAGTATGACAGAGGAACAGGATTTATTAATTTAAATGTAAATAGCTACTAGTGGTTGAAGTTATTGAAAGGCTTAGATTTAGATTTTGTAGGATCTAAATTGTCATAAAGATTTTGTTTTTAATCTCTGAGGGAGCAGATTTCAAGCTCAATTTAACAGAGCCATTTTGGTTAGTGTATGGAGAACAGATTGAAAAGGACAAAAGTAGAAGCCAGGTGACAATATAGCAAGCTATTGGTGCTTTCTCTATTAAAATTATTAACACATAGGATGCCCTCAAAAAACAAACTATTTGTGTTATAATTTTCTTTCATCCAAAGGGGCTAGGAGTGTAGCTCAGTGGTAGAGTATATATACTTAGCATGTTTGAGGCTCTGGGTTTGATTCTTAGCACCAAATCAGACAAAAAAAAAAAAAAAAAAAAAAAAAAAAAAGGCCAGGCTTTGTTTTAAGTGCTAGAGATACTTATCAAAAGAAATAAGGTTCTTGTCTACATGAACTTTTTATTCTAGTTGGAGAAACTGATGATAAAAATAATGGGAGAGGGGTGACTCAATGTTAGGACATAATTTTTTATAGTGGATTTTTTTATACCTTTATTTAATTTAGTGCTGAGGATCTAACCCAGTGCCTCACACATGCTAGGCAAGTGCTCTATCATTGAGCTACAACCGCAGCCCCTTGGCACATAAATTTAAAGAGGGATGAGTGTCCTCTTATTTCCATCTTATCAGTGACATGTGCCTGGGTGTGACTTTGTTTGGGGAGATAAAGTAAAAGTCTGACCTCAAGGTAATTTTTGACAGTGATATCCCTCCAGAATCACATAAAAACCCTATGTTTGAAGGGCCTTCTAGTGATTTCATAATGAGGTGAACCAGGCATGGACCTCTGGAACTCAATATATGCCCCTATAGCCTGGGCTGGTTTCTAGACAAATCTTAATTCTTTTGTTCAAGCAGGGAGAACTGCAACCAATCTGGGGTAAGGCCAGAGCTTCCTGAGAGAATACCTCTGAAAACATGAGCATATTTACCTGTGACCTTAAAACTAATGAGGACAACATTTTCAGGGAAAAATAAGTTAGAGACAATAGAGCTTAAAGCAGGGCCAGAGGTACAGCTGGGATTCTGGGTCAAGGTCAGAATGGTCCCTCTCCTCACACCATTGCTTAATTTGTGTGGACCTGGGTCCTCTCATCCCATGGTGTCTGGCCAACTACAGTCTTGAGATGGTCAAGGGAGTCCAAAATATAGCTTCAAATCCCTGACACAGTGGGGGAGCAGTAGAGAGAGACTTCAGGCCTTCTAGTGTTATTATTCTTGAATTCTATATCCCAACCCCAAATTTAGGATCGTCATTTTTCAGTAAGTCTTAACAATTTGTTGAAATTAAATGAAGTATCTACATCTGGGTTTATATTTAGGAACGTGGTTATGGAATCTGGTTTGAAATATAATGACTAAAAATAAAAAGCATGTTATTCTGTTAAATTGGTACTTAAAAATGTAAAATTTAAATTAGCTAATGTGACATAACCTAAATCTCACCTGTGTTTTCCAGTCTCTTTTATGGAAAAAATAGTCCTCAAAGAAATTCAGAGGCTCCTTTCTCCTTAGCATTTCTAATTTTTGTGTGTCTCTGAATGGCTTTCCCATCACCACCCCATCCACATTAGGAAACAATGGAAAGATGGGTATTTTTGAATATGGGCTATCTGAATGGAAATTGCATCCTAAAAAGATAAAAACAAAAATGGTATCACTAACAACATAAGTCATTCCCATAAAAGACAAACGTGGTACCTATTTTGCTTTTTCCCTATTCTTCTCTCATTGGTCATGGCCCTCCTTCACTTTCCTGTTCCTACTCCATACCCATCTGCAGACTTTAGGCTTCACCCAGGAATCTGAAGACTCAGGTGAGGGATACCTGTGCATCCAAATGGTATTTGTGTGACAGAGAGCAGTAACTCAGAAGAGTCTCAGGCCCTGCTCTTGGCCTCTAGGTTTTATTTCTGAGTAGTCATATAAATAAATCCTTTTAAAAAGTGGGGAGGGAACAAATGGCTCTTACTTTTGAGCTCTTCAAGAAATTTAAATAAATCCTTTTCTTTCATTATTGCAACCTGAGCAGCATTAGCAAAGGCAGCGGTGCTTGAGCTTGGAGGTGTGCATATATCTGGCATAAATCTCCTTTTTCCATATTCCCTAGAATGGGGATTCCACAATATTTCTCCACTGGCCTCCTGGAATTTTCTTCGGAAATAGCTTTAAAAAAAGAAAAAGTAGTTCAGAAGTGGATAAAAAGAGTTATAGGACAAAAAGAAAAAGTTTAATTATAAGTTTCATATGCTGAGTAAATTAATTTTAAATTGAATTTGCATAATCATTCAATAATATTTGAGTGTCTAGTCCTGTGACATTTGAGAATATTCTGACACTTTTCACAGGTCCTTTTCCTTTTTTTTTTTTTTTTTTGGTTCTGGGGATTGAACCTAGAAGTGCTTTCTCACTAAGCTACATCCCTGACCTTTTATTTTAAAATTTTGAGACAGGGTCTCAGTAAGTTTCTGAGGGCCTCATCAAATTGCCTAGACTGACTTTGAACTTGTGATCTTCCTGCCTCAACCTCCCGAGTAGCTGGGATTATAGGTGTGTGCTACTGCGCCCAGCTTCCATAGGCCATTTGACTGTTTTATATCTGTAGTTCTTAGTCTTTGGTTTTCTTCCTCTTCTCCAAGACTTCATGGTCTTATGTAGAAAAATAAATACTTCAAAACCACCCTAAGATACCATCTCACTCCAGTTAGATTGGCAGCCATCATGAAGTCAAACAACAACAAGTGCTGGCGAGGATGTGGGGAAAAGGGTACACTTGTACATTGCTGGTGGGACTGCAAATTGGTGCAGCCAATTTGGAAAGCAGTATGGAGATTTCTTGGAAAGCTGGGAATGGAGCCACCATTTGACCCAGCTATTCCCCTTCTCGGTCTATTCCCTAAAGACCTAAAAAGAGCATGCTACAGGGACACTGCTACATCGATGTTCATAGCAGCACAATTCACAATAGCAAGACTGTGGAACCAACCTAGATGCCCTTCAATAGATGAATGGATAAAAAAAAATGTGGCATTTATACACAATGGAGTATTACTCTGCATTAAAAAATGACAAAATCGTAGAATTTACAGGGAAATGGATGGCATTAGAGCAGATTATGCTAAGTGAAGCTAGCCAATCCCTAAAAAACAAATGCCAAATGTCTTCTTTGATATAAGGAGAGTAACTAAGAACAGAGTAGGGTCGAAGAGCATGAGAAGAAGATTAACATTAAACAGGGATGAGAGGTGGGAGGGAAAGGGAGAGAGAAGGGAAATTGCATGGAAATGGAAGGAGACCCTCAGAGTTATACAAAAGTACATACAAGAGGAAGTGAGGGGAAAGGGAAAAATAATACAAGGGGGACAAATGAATGCCAGTAGAGGGGGCAGAGAGAGAAAAGGGGAGGGGAGGGGAGGGGGGATAGTAGAGGATAGGAAAGGCAGCAGAACACAACAGACACTAGTATGGCAATATGTAAATCAATGGATGTGTAACTGATGTAATTCTGCAATCTGTATATGGGGTAAAAATGGGAGCTCATAACCCACTTGAATCAAAGTGTGAAATATGATATATCAAGAACTATGTAATGTTTTGAACAGCCAACAATAAAAAATTAAAAAAAAAAAAGAAAATTAAATACTTAAGGCCATTGACAAACTGGATATGGTGGTACACACTGCAATCCCAGTGCTCTGGATACTGAGGCAGGAAGATCACAAGTTGGAGGCTAGCTTCAGCAATTTAGTGAGATCCTGTCTCGAAATAAAAATAAAAAGGGAGGAATTAGAGAAATGCAAATCAAAACTACTCTAAGATTTCATCTCACTCCAGTCAGAATGGCAGCTATTAAGAATAAAAACAATAATATGTGTTGGCGAAGATATGGGGACACTCTTACATTGCTGGTGGGACTGCAAATTGGTGCAACCAATATGGAAAGCAATATGGAGATTCCTTGGAAAACTTGGAATGAAACCATCATTTGACCCAGCTATCCCATTCTTGGTTTTTACCCCAAAGGACTTAAAAACAGCATACTATAGGGCTGGGATTGTGGCTCAGCAGTAGAGCACTTGCCTAGCACATGCAAGGCCCTGGGTTCGATCCTCAGAACCACATAAAATAAAGGTATTGTGTCCAACTAAAACTAAAAAATAATTTTAAAGAAACACAATATACTACAGGGACACAGCCACATCAATGTTTATAGCAGCACAATTCACAGTAGCTAAATTGTGGATCCAACCTAGATGCCCTTCAGTAGATGAATGGATAAAGAAAACATGCTATATATACACAATGGAATATTACTCAGCATTAAAAGAGAATAAAATCATGGCATTTGCAGGTAAATGGATGGAGTTGGAGAATATAATGCTAGGTAAAGTAAGCCAATCCCCCAAAAACAAATGCAGAATGTCTAATATAAGGGTGCTGATTCATAATGGGATGGGGGAGGAGCATGGGAGGAATAGACTTTAGATAGGGCAAAGGGGAAGGAGAGGAAAGGAGTGGGCATGGTGGTAGGAAAGACAGTGGAATGAGACGGACATCATTACCATAAGAACATGAGTAGTGTGACTCTACTTTGTGTACAACTAGAGACATGAAAAATTGTGCTCTATTTGTTTGTATGTGGTGCTGAGGATCGAACCCGGGCCACACGCATGCCAGGCGAGCGCGCTACCGCTTGAGCCACATCCCCAGCCCCATGTGCTCTATTTGTGTAACATGAATTGACTTGCATTCTGCTGTCATACATCACTAATTAGAATAAATAAAATAAAATTTTAAAAAAGTGCTAAGGATGTAGATTAATGATAGAGTACTCCTGAGTTCAATTCCCTAGTACTGAGAGAGAATATTGTTTAATTTTCATATATTTGTACAATTTCTAAAGTTTCTTTTTGTTGATTTTTATTTTTATTTCCTGCAGAGAATATATGCTATGATACAATATTTTTGAATTTTTGAGACTTATTTTGTGGCCTAACACATGTTATATGCTGGAGAATGTTCTACATGCTGATGAGAAGAATGTTTTCTGTAGCTGTTGGATGAAAGGTTTTGAAAATATCTGTTAGGATCATTTGGTCCACAGCATAGTTTAAGTCTGATGTTTCTTTGTTGATCTTTTTGTCTGGATGATCTGTTCATTGATGAAATGATATGTTGAAGTCCCTATTATTGAAATAGAATCTCTCTTTTCTTTTATATCTAAATCTAATCAAGTTTGTTTCATATAATTGGGTGCTTCCAGCTTGGGTGCATATATATTTACATTTATTGATTCCTTTATCAGTATAGAATGACCTTATTTATTTTTATATAATGACTTCTTTCTTTTTTTTTTTAAAGTATAGATACTCTTACTAACTTTTGGTTTCCATTTGCATAGTATATCTCTTTCCATTCTTTCATTTTCACTGTATGTGGGTCTATACTGGCTAAGTCAATTTCTTTTAGGCAGTATTATCCTTGGGTCTAGTTTTTTTTTTTTAAATCCATTCAGACAGTTTATGTGTTTTAATTTGGTAATTTAATACCCAGTTTTTGTCTTGGAAAGTTTTTATTTCTCTGTAATTTCTGAAGGATTGCTTTGTTGTGTATAGTATTATTTACTTTCAGCACTTTGAATAAATCATTCCATTCTTTCCTGGCCTGTAAGATATTTACAGAGAAGTCTGTTGTTAATCTAATGGGGATTCCCTTATACGTGACTTGATGTTTTTCTCTTGTTGTCTTTAGAATTCTCTGTCTTGTACTTTGACAGTCTGACTCTAACATGTCTTGGAAGCTTTTTTGGTTGAATCTATTAGTGTTGGTAAAGATGGCGCCCAGAGTGCTTCTCTTCTGGGAGCTCAGGTCCATGACGCACTGAATGGCGCGTGAACCGTCACCTCCAATCCCTGTGAATGGCGCGAACTTTGAATGAAGCACCTCCAATCCCTGAAGTGGCGCAAAGTCTCAGCCAATGAAGAAGTAACAGCCCACTCGCCTTGCTCCTCCTCATCCTGTGTTAAGCCCATAAGTATCAACACCCTGTTCGTGCTCGCTCTCTTATTCTCCTGCTCTCTTTCTTACTTTACTTCTCTTACTCTCCCCCTCTCTTTTTCTCTCTCCTCTCTCTCTCTCTCTCTCTCTCTCTCAAAACCTCCTTCTCTTCTGCGACTGGCCGCTATGGTCCTGCTAATAAAATCTCAGACAGGTAAATGGTTGTTTTGGCTTGTTGAGTTTACCGAGCTTTTCCACCGTTCCTTACAATTAGAGATCCTTTGAGCTTCCTGGACCTGGATGTCCATATCTTAAGATTTGGAAAGTTTTCACCAATTATTTTTTTAAAAAATTTCTTTTCTATGCCTTTTCCCTTTTCTTCTCCTGGAACAGTCATAATGCCCGAGTTTTCTTGCTTGATAGTATCTCTGAAGTCTCTAAGGCTTGCTTCATACTTTTCAATTTTTCTTCTTCTTTCTTTCTTTTTTAAAAATCTGAATCATTTCAAAAGACCTGTCTTCTCAGAAATTCTTCTGCTTGACCAATTCTGCTGTTAAGTCACTTAACTATTTTTTATACCATTTATTGAGTTCTTTATCATTAAGAGTTGTGATTGGCTTTTTATTTTTCTTTTGACACTAGAGATTGAACCCAGGGGTGCTTTACCAATGAGCCATATCCCCAGCTCTTTTTATTTTTAATTTTGAGCAGGGTCTCACTAAGCTGCTTAGGGCCTTGCCAGGTTGCTTAGGTTGACCTAGAACTCACAAACCACCTACCTGCCTCAGCCTCCAGAGTTTTTAGGATTCCAGGTGTGTGTGAGGATGGCCTTAGGCCTGAGCCTAAGCAACTCCATTTTAAAACTCCAGTTTGAAATCTGCAGTCTCCCCAGGCACACCCACAGAGCCCTCCAGTATGACCTCAAACAAGTTACTTCCCCTCACCCTGATAAATAGAGTGAAGCCCCTGGTAGGCTGTCCTGGCCTGATAAGAGGGAAAGGAAAGAAGATCAGGGTGGAGACCACCAGACCAGATGTCATGGAGAAATCCCATGGTAGCTGATAAGATTGAAAGGGGGTCAAAAGCCTCAAAATTTAGTATAAATAATAGAGCTGATAAAAGGGATTCAGCCAGCCAAAACAAGGATGCACTTGAGCTAGAGAGCCTGATGAGGACTTTTCATCCCATTACTTATCCTTGGTTCCTGATCCTTTGCATGATCCTCACTGCTCTCAAACTCTACTGCCTGGTCTGGACCTTGGTGAGAGCTGCAACTTCTCCCTAGGATCCTCTCCTCAACTAGTCGTCCACTTCATGCCAGGAAAAGCCTGCCTTGGTTCCAGACCCTATCACCGCGGTCTAAGAGTGTGCATCTGCTGGACATAAAGCCTAAGGCTTGAGACTTTTGAACTTGGCATGGAGAGGGAATGTCTGTCACCTGTCATGATTAAGTGTTTTTGAAGTGCTTAGAATTAATCTAGAATTGTTTGCTGTGAATGATTATATCTATTGCAGTGCCTAGTATAAAGGATTGTCGTTTTCTTGATTAAGAATCTGTAGAGTGAAACTGTATTGAGTAATTTGAGTGAATAAAGCATTGAAAGGGGCGGAAGCGCATGAACATTCTTTATTTCTCCCCTTGACTGCATTTGATGCAATTTTGCCCCCTCGTGACAGTGTGTGCCACCACAACCAACTTTTCATTCTGTTTTTTTTTTTTAAATAGTACTGAGGATTGAACCCAGGAGTGTTCTACCACTTGAGTAGCATGCATAACTCTATTTATTTTCCTAGTCCTTTAAAAATTTTTACTTTAAAACAGGGTTTCACTAAGTTGCCTAGGTGTGGGGATGGCCTTAGGCCTAGGCCTAAGCAATACCATTTTAAAAACTCCAGTTTGAAACCTGCAGTCTCACCAGGCACGCCTAATGGAGCCCTCCAGTATGGCTCTCAAGCACAAACAAGTCACTTCTCCCCCACCCTGATAAATTCAGAGTGAAGCCTCTGCCTGGCTGCCCTCACCAATAAGAGGGAAAGGCAAAAAGATCAGGGTGGGGACCACCAGACCATGTTTTAACCCAGGGTAAATGATGTCACTGAGACCCAGTGCCATCTGATAATGATTGAAAGGGGGGGGGGTTCACAGCCCCCAAATTTGGTATAAATAATAGAGCAGATGAACAGATAGCCAGACGACACTAATGGCCTCATACTGAGAGCCTGATTAGGACCTGGACTGACATTCCAAGACTTTTTATGGTTGCTGATCCTCTGCATTTTCCTTACCACTCTCAAACTCTCAGCCATATCTTGACCCTGGTGACAGTCACAACTTCTCCTTAGGACCCTCTCCTCAACCAGCTGTCAGCTCCACCCCAGGAGAAACCTGCTTTGGTTTCTGACCTGATCACCTTGGTCTAAGTGTGCATCTGCTGGATTTAAAGCCTAAGGCTTGAGACTTTTGATCTGACACTTGAATTTAGCATGCAGAGGGAATGTCTGTCTTGAGCCTGTCCTGATTAAGTGTTTGCAGTGCTTAGAATAATTGATCTAGAATTGTTTGCTGTGAATTAATTAATCTAGAATTGTTTGCTGTGAATTGATTATATCTATTGCAGTGCCTAGCATTATGGATTGTCCTTTTCTTGATTAAGAACCTGTAGAGTGAAATTGTATTGATGATTTGAGTGAATAAAGGATTGACTAGGGCAGAAGTGCATGGACATTCTTTATTTCTCCCCATCGACTGCATAAGTCACACCTTTTGCCCATCATAACACTAGGCTAGCCTCACACTTGTAATCCTCCTGCCTTAGCCTCCTGAGTAGCTAGGATTATATGCCACTATGCCCAGATCTGTTTGGTTCTTTTAAATATTTTATTTGTTTATTGGCTTTTTAAAAAAATGGTTTATATCTCTTTGCTGAATTTCTCATTCATATCATATAATTCTGTTGGATTGTCTATCTGTATTCTCTTAAATTTCTTTTTTTTTTAAGAGAGAGAGAGAGAGAGAGAGAGAATTTTTTTTTTTAATATTTATTTTTTAGTTCTCAGCGGACACAACATCTTTGTATGTGGTGCTGAGGATCGAACCCGGGCCGAACGCATGCCAAGCGAGCGCGCTACCGCTTGAGCCACATCCCCAGCCCTGTATTCTCTTAAATTTCATTGTTTTCTTTTTTTATTGGTTGTTCAAAACATTACAAAGCTCTTGACATATCATATTTCATACATTAGATTCAAGTTGGTTATGAACTCCCATTTTTACCCCAAATACAGATTGCAGAATCACATCGGTTACACATCCACATTTTTACATAATGCCATATTAGTAACTGTTGTATTCTACAATTTCATTGTTTTCTGAAATTCATTCTTTTGAATTGTCAGGCAGCTCATTCATTTCCTTTTCTTTGAGGCCTGTTGCTAAAGAGTTATTGTGTTTCTTTGGAGGTGTCATGTTACCTTATCTTTTATGCTTCTGGTGAATCTGGCAAGGCAGTTGTCTCTACCAATTTTGTAGAGTGGCTTTGTAGTAAGACTTTTTTGCTGGTGCTATGTGCTGAAGTGTCTGTCAATTGAATATACTATGTTGACTGTGGTTCTAGATGGATGCTTTAGTGTAATGTCCATCTAGTTTCTTCAGCTGTGGTCCATGTTGGTGATGTCTGATTGGAGTTTCCTTTCTAAGTTTCCCCTTAGGCATTGTTTTAAACAATTTCAATCTCCTTAGGAACCAGACAATAAAGAGATGATCACATAATTAACAACCAAATTAGATAACCAGATAAATAACAACCCCAATCCAATTTCAATAAAAACACTAACATAGGCTAACATTTCCTCTATACTTACTGGGTGTGAGAGGAAGCATAGGGAATAGAAAAAAAGCTTGGTTTCCTAATCAGGATGCTAAAATCCAAGCATCACTTTCTCCTGGGCAAGTTATTTAACTGGCCTATACTTCAGGGTTTGTTTTATCACACCAGGGATTGAACTCAGAGGTGTTTAACCACTTAGCCACATCCCTAGCTCTTTTAATTTTTTTTCTTTTGAGACAGATTCTTGCTAAGTTGCATAGGGCCTCATTAAGTTGCTGAGGTTGGTTTTGAATTTTTGGTCCTCTTGCCTTAGCCTCCTGAGTTGCTGGGATTATAGGTGTGCACCACTGCGCCTGGCTGTTTTTTCATTATAAAAATTGGGATGATAGTATATTCTCATTAGGGAGGCAAGGGTTTAAAATCAATGATATGTATATTCTATGCTTAATGTAATTATTTCCACATAATATGACATTTATGGAACTTTGTAATGTGTTAAGCACTTCACATATCATGTGTTTTCACATATCATTCCCACAACTTCCCTTTAAGGCAGGTATTATTATCTTCCTAATTTTATGGATGAGGAAATTGAGGCTGAGAGATTAAGTGCCAAATTTGTGTACCAACAGCAGAAATTTAATATATATATATATTTATTAAATTATCTCTAAATAACTAAATTAAATTAATAATACCAGGTGCCGTGGCACATGTCTGTAATCCTAGCCATTCAGGAGGCTGAGGCAGGAGTACTGCAAGTTCCAGGCCAGCCTGGACAACTTAGGGAGAACCTGACTCAAAATAGAAAAGGGCTGGGGATATAGCTCAGAGCTAGAGTATCCCTGAGTTTAATCCCCAGTATCCTCCCACACACACAAAAAAAGATCTTTGAAGTTGAATGAAATGAAAAGTAGAATTTTGTGCACCCTTCTCTGTTCAACATCTGATGAAGAGAGAGGATAATACAGGCTACCTATTTAGAGGCATAAGAATATTTTTACCCTTTTTTGGTAGCATTCTGAATTTTAAGTCTTAAGTATGATACCAGAAAACTTTGTAGAATGTGAATTTAACATATTGATAATGGGAACATTTAATTTCTATAATACAATGATAAAAATAGATTGAATAAATTTGTTTTTAGTGCTATTTGCTGGAATAAATTATTTCACTTGCCTGTGAGAATGTTTTCTTCTCATCCTTTATACTCAATTCTAATTCTGGCCCCATGCAGTATGTTGGGAAATCTGAACTTACTACACCTCTCAAAGTCTAGTGGGTATGGGAGTGTCTTGTATTCCCCACTGGATTTTGAAGCCATTTTAAATCATTTCTGCACACCTTAAATCTCAGCAAATCTGTAGGCTGAGATAGGAAGATGGTAAATTTAAGGCCAGCTTCTGTAATTTAGTGAGACCCTAACCAACTTAGCAAGACTCTGTCTCAAAATGAAAAGGGCTGGGGATGGAGCTCAGTGGTAAAGCACCCCTGGTTTAAATTCCCAGTACCAAAAAAAAAAAAAAAAATCATCCCTGAATAAGTCTTATTCTTCTGGGATTCTCTGGTATTAGGTAGGGGAGGCTGAACTTTTTTGGATGTCTTAAGCCCACAGCAGGGTCCTGGTTTGTCTGAGCTCTGAATTTCAGAGCTAGGTAGAAATGTTGTGGCACATGACCATTTGCTTTGATACCTTTCTCCTATGTTTTGGGCCAGACCTCGTGGAGTAGGATGTTAGTAAGATATCCTTATAAGTGCTTCTGAGAAGGTTGTTCTTTTGTCTCTTTCCTTGACACTTACCTTACTATTTCCATTATAGCCTTTCTGGGTAGGGCTGAAGTCTCTACAAGCTTTGATAGGATTTCAAATAATAGGATCCCCGGGTTGTCAGTTAAATCTAAATAGGTTTCCTTTTCTGGAACTATGGAAAAGGAAACAGATTTCAAAATGCATTCTGAACAAATCATTCATCAAAAAGTAATATAATAGATAATCTTTTTTAAAAAATATTTTTTAGCTGTCAATGGACCTTTATTTGTTTATTTATATGTAAATAAATTGAATATGTAAATAAATAAATATGTAAATAAATGCCTAGAATCAGAATCACACATGCTAGGCAAGCACTCTACCACTGAGCCACAACCCCAGCCCTACAGATAATCTTTTTACTGAGTATTTCTTATAATAACATCAAGTAAGGGATTAGAGATATAGTAATCATTAAAATTTTGTTCTAATTGGTAGAAAGTTAATTTTGATTACTTGACCAGAGTAATCCCCAAATATAAAAATACTTTTTAGTTCAATGACTTCTAAGTAAATACAGTAATACTTGCAACATAAGCATGAACTGTATGCTATGAACTACTGTCTTGTTCTTCTAGGCAAAGAATTTTTTGATAAATTTATCTCTGGTTTGCAGGAAAACTCCCACTACTATCAAAGTATTTGCAAACAGTAACTTTTATCTTTATCTTAACTCTTTATCTTAAGGACAATTCATAATTTACGAATGGGCCTGTTTTCAAAACTGTGTGCAATATTTGGAATTTGGAATGTACTTATCCTAGAAAACAAGATATGAAAAGTGATTAGATTTTCCAAAGAAGGTTGTTAAGTTCCTAAACAAACTGTGAGAGTACAAATAACAATATTTCAAGTATACCAATAGAGCATGTATAGCCTTGTGTGAGAAAATGCTTTTTAACCCCAAGCAGACTTTCACAAGGGTAGAAGCATCATCAGAGTGAAGATATACTTTTTCTTTTCTTTCTTTCTTTTTTTTTTTTTTTTTGGTACCAGTGAACCTAGGGTGCTTAACCACTAAGCTATATCCACAGCCTTTTTTATTTTTTCCTTTGAGACGAGGTATCATAAGTTGATAAGGATGGCCTTAAACTTGCCATCCTCTTGCCTCAGACCTGCTGGGATTGCAGGCATGTGCCACCATGCCTAGCTAAGAGGTATATTTAAAAATTTATTATTTTTTTATTTGTTCTACTTAGTTGAACGTGACAGCAGAATGCATATCAATTCATTATACATAAATGGGGTGCAGCATTTCAATTCTCTGGTTCTACATGAAGTAGAGATGTACCACCGTGCAATCATAAATGTGCCTACGGTAATGATGTTTACATCATTCCACCATCTTTCCTACCCCCATAAAAGATGCATTTTTTTTTTAAGAACAGTATATTATCAGCTAGGCACTGTGGCACATGTATGTAACCCCAGCAAGTTTGAGGATCATAAATTTGAGATCAACCTCAGCAACTTAGCAAAACAAAACAAAACAACAACAACAACAACAAAACCCAAAACTGGGGATGTAGCTTAGTGGTAAAGTACTCTGGGTTTAATCCTTAGTACTAAAAAGTAAAACAAGCAAGCATATAAAAGACCCTATTATCTATGCCCCAAATCTTCATGAGAGCATGTTTTTTTTTTCTAAAGAAATGTTTTTTTTTCTTTTTGTAAAAGGAATGCCTCTGAAAGTAGTGCACATCTTCAGTAAGTAATTAAAACACTATGAAATGAGACTAAAATTTTCTGCCCTTGTTACTTCCTGAAGGTTCTCATTGGAAACTAAAGGGCAGTATCACGTGAAGTAGGTCTTTAGACAATACCAGTACCTGCATGATTATTTAAATTAAAATTCTAAAACTGGGTTTGGGCATGGTGCTGCACATCTATAATCTATAAGTGGAAGGCTGAGGCAAGAGAATTCCAAGTTTGAAGCCAGCCTTGGGCAACTTAGTGAGAATTTTTCTAGAATGAAAAATAAAAACTGGAGGTATAACTCAGTGGCACAGCACCCCTGGTTCAATCCCCAGTACCAGATGACCACCACCACCAACACACACACACACACACACACAAAAAAAAAAAAAAGGAGAAGAAAAAAGAAAGAAAGAAAAGAAAATAGCAAAAAAAAAAAAAACCTTAAAGTATCAATTTGTTTAGCAAAGCAGTACAAAAATAAATCATATCCTCAAAGTACAGCTTTCTGATTTGTCTCCACATTGGAGGCCTAAATGAATAATGTTTACATGTAGTGGGCTGTAGCTACCCAACTGCCATCTATTCAGGAACACCTGTCAGGAACACCTCTGCTCACCTACAGCTTTGAGGAAGCGGTTCTTATCTGTTAGCACCTTTATGAAGTCAGAGAAGTTCACCTTCCCGTCTCCTGCAACAGAAATATAAGCTCAGAACAAGAATAAGATGTATTGAAATTGTTAGAGTACATATTGAGTGTAAAAGTTAAAGCACTCTGGACCACTTAATACTTAAAATCAGAGCATTTTGAACTGGGGATATAGCTCAGTTGATAGAGTGCTTGCCTCACATGCACAAGGCCCCAGGTTCAATCCCCAGAACCACAAAAGTTAAAATAAAATAAACAAAACCACAGAGCATTTTAGGGCTGGAGAGATGCTATAAACACTCAGCCAGGGCTCCCAACCGCTGCGGGCCTGTCCATGGGCCTGTCCATTCACTCCTCGTCCAGAGTTTTGCCATTTTTACAAGGAATCTACCCAACATCCCACTCCATATCCAGCCCTATTCTACTATAAAATAGCCAAGCTTTAGCCCATTTCTTCTAAAATTAAAGATAGTGCTATTAAAGTGGATGTGTGTATGCTTCCTAGGAAGAATAGAAAAATTATGCATAGTTAGTGGAAACAAGTGATACCTTAACTGGTGACATTGAATCACATGTGGAACTAATGCTGACTGAGTGGGCACTGACAGTGGGTGAGGTGAGGTGAGAGGAGATAATGTGCTGAATATATTTTTCACACAATGTATCAGCTTGAACTACTAATCACTAGGTCAGGATTCTCAATAGAAACATGATCTTTTTTATTATTATTTCTTACATCACAATAGAGGAGTGCATCACATTCATAATTTTTTTTGCATTGCAATTCTTAATACACCTTTATACCACAATTTCTCAAATCTTTGTATATAAGGTATGTTGACACGAAATTCACATCTTCATACGTGAATTTTTTTATATGATGACCGTCTCCTTCCACTATTCATTCCCAATTTAGCTAAAATGCATATCATTCTAATATCCTTGCTAGTAAAAACATGATCTTGATGCTTTAAAAATATAAAAAAATTCTCTGTCATTTAAAACTCAGTGTAGGTAGACCCTAATGATGCAAAGAGGATTCATACTATTATAACTTAAATGGAAACAAAGGGCTTGGACTTTCTGGGCATCATGTCAGTTTTTAAATTGTTTATGTTTTTGTATTTGTGATTTCAAGGTATCTTTCAAAATGAACATCATGAAAGATAACCTGAATTTGATATTGAGATAGTCACTCAGTTTCCACACAGGATTTTTCAAAGAATAGTTCTGAGGATTAATTTGATTTCATAATATATATATATATATATATATATATATATATATATACACACACACACACACACACACACACACACACATACCTCAATGATATCTTTACAGGGAAATAAACTCATATACAGTAATCCCCTTTATCTGCAGAGGATATATTCCAAGACCTCCAGTGAATGCCAAACACCTCAAATAGTTTATTTTTGGTACCAGGGATTGAACCCCAGGGTGCTTAACCACTTAGCCATATCCCCAGCCCTTTTTTTTAAAAAAATATATTTTTAGTTATAGTTGGGCACAATATCTTTATTTATTTATTTCTATGTGGTGCTGAGGATCAAATTCAGTGCCTCTCACATGCTAGGCAAGTGCACTACCACCAAGCCACAACCCCAGGCACCCCCCACCCCCCATCCCCAGCCCTTTTTGTATTTTATTTAGAGACAGGGTCTTGCTGAGTTGCTTAGGGCCTCACTAAGTTGCTGAGGCTGGCTTTGAACTCATGATCCTCCTGCCTCAGTCTCCTGAGTTGCTGGCATTTAAGGGCATATGCCACTGTGCCCAGCAAAAATATGTATTTGTAAAAGTTTTTTTAAAAGTCTTTTATGAGAAGGTAATGAGAAATTAAAATACTCACGATCAATATCAGCACATTTTAATTCATTATAGATATCATGCTTGGTTACATTCATTCCCAATTTAGCTAAAGTGCACATCATTCCATGTAAATCAATACAGCCAGTTTTATCCTTGCTGAAGAAGTCGTAGGCATGATGGAAGGCTGGAGAATGGAATTAAGTTACGGCAGTTATTTAAGAAGAAATACATATGCTAATAAGACTAGAACAGATAATACAGCTGGAGATCATGTTCTAGAAAAGTACTGAGAAAAATAGGCATTTAATACTTTTGGGGGGAGGGATACTGAGGAGAGCTTTACTTCTAAATTACATCCCCAGCCCCACCCCACTTTTTGAGGGGTACTGGGAATTGCACTCAAGGGCACTTGACCACTGAGCCACATCCGCAACCCTATTTTGTATTTTAGTTAGAGACAGGGTCTCACTGAGTTGCTTAGCGCCTTGCTTTTGCTGAGGCTGGTTTTGAATTTATAATCCTCCTGCCTCAACCTCCCAAGCTGTTGGGATTACAGGAATGCACCATTGCACCTGCCTCCCCAGCCCTCTTTATTTTGAGACCTTGCTAAATAGTTTAGAGCCCCACTGAGTTGCCCAGGCTGGCCTTACATGTGTGATCATCCTGCCTCAGCCCCCCAAGTCACTGGGATTACAGTCCTATACTACCACACCTGGCTTTTAATAGACATTTCTGATACCTGATACTGCCCTTCCTTAGGATTTGAAGTAGAACAAGCTAATTGGTATGTGAGATAGCCTTCCAAAGAAGTCCATGCCCGAATCTCTGGAACCTATGAATAAATTACTTTATATGGTAAAAGGGACTTTGCAGATATAATTGAGATAGGTTATCTTGGATTATCTGAGATAATCCAAAAATATATTGAATATATTCTTTCCTTCCTTCCTTCCTCTCTCCCTCCCTCCCTTCCTTTCTTTCAGTAAAGATATTGGGCCCAATCTAATTATATAAACTCATCATAGAGCTAGAAGCAAGACAGATGTGGCAGAAAAAGAAATTCAGGGCATGAGAAGATTTCCCCTACCATTGCTTGTTTGAAGATAGGGTATGGGGAGCAACATGGTATACAACATAGGTAGCCTTAAGGGGCTGAGTCTCCTGGTTGACTGGCAGCAAGAAAATTGGGACCTCAGCTATGCAACTGCAAAGAACTCAGTTATGCCACAAATCTGAATGAGATTGGAAGCAGATTCTCTGGACTTTCCAAATAAGAATCCCCACATAAGGGCTGGGGAGGCAACTCAGTGGTAGAGAGCTTGCCTAGCATGCCAGAGATCTTGGGTTTGATCCCCAGTAATGTAAAAGAAAAAAAAAAGATATTCTCCCAAATAAGAGCCCAGGCTGGATAACACCTAAGTTTGTTTATTTCCTTCTTGCTCCTTCCCCTGATTTCCTTCCTTTCTTCCTTCCAATACTGGCAATTGAACCCAGGGGTGCTCTACCATGGTGCTGCTTATTATTTTTTATTTTGAGACAGGTCTTACTAAATTGCCCAGGCTAACCTTAAACTTTCCATGTTTCTGCCTCAATCTCTGGAGTCTCTCTGATGCCAGGTGTGTACTAACATGCCTGTCTCAACCCCTGAATTTGGAACCTCTAAGACCTGCAGGAGAGAAGCCAGTCAAGCCTATCTGGACTTCTGACCTGTACAACCTGCTGTTTTATGCTGTGAAATTTGTGATAACTTGTTATGGTAGCAGTAGAAAACTAATACACGAAGTTGGACCCAAATTGAATATGTATATGTATGTGTTATACATATCTAAAGTGTTTTTCAAAGAAATACTCAAAGCACCAATTGAAGCCAAATTAGGTATGTGTTTTCTAAAATTAGTGAAAGAAGAAATAAATCCAGATCAAAGTATATTCCAAATGGCACCAGAATATAATGCATTTCATATACATTCAAGTCTCAGCATCTCTATGTATAAGAAGTGATTAATCCTATAAGATAATGATACTTACCTTGTAACTGTATGAAAAGATAACACCTATCTCCCTTGACAAAAGGTAAGCTTTTCTAGAGCTGGAATCAAACCATTTCTGACTCATCTCTATCTTCTCACAGCCTCTTTATCATGTTGTAGGCATTCATGCAATTTAGCAAATGTTTATTGCATGCTTTCTGTGTGCCAGGTACTGTGCTCTAAGTGCTTAGGATACACTCCTGCATGAAATACACAAACGTTTCTGTCCTCATATAAATAAAATAAGTAGGTAAATTAGATACTATTTTAGAAGGTGGTCTATGAAAAAAACAAAAAGTAATGCTGGGTTGGGGATTGAAAAAAAGAGACAAATAGAATTTTGACAAGACTCCCACCTTCTTTTCCTCTCTCCCTTCCTTTCCTTTCTTTTAGGTAATGGGAATTGAACCAGGATCACTTTACCACTGCGTTATATCCCCATCCCTTTTTTGTATTTTATTTAGAGACAAGGTCTTACTGAGTTGCTTAGTGCCTCACTAAGTTCTGAGGCTGGCTTTGAACTTGTGATCCTCCTGCCTCAGCCTCCTGAGCTGCTGGGATTATAGGGGTGCACCACTGTGCCTGGCCTTCCTACCTTCACTTCTACCTGTTTACCTTTATCAGTAATAATACTCTGATTTCTTCCCTATTCCACAAATGAACTTTATACTTTCTTTTTTTGTAACTGGGAATTAAACTCAGAACCTCACACATAGTAGGAAAGTTCTATCACTGAGCTACATCCCCAGACCTGAAATTTATACTTTTATCTAGATCCAGTTAACTCTATTGTAGATTATAATGTATCCCCTCTCTCATATTCACAGATATCACCCTCTAAAAGGTCCCTGTCTCCAACACCAAATTTTCACTATTATAATAGATATTCCTATTATCATACGAATACACTGTTACTTCTCCTTAAAAATACATTGTGGGGGCTAGGGTTGTGGCTCAATGGTAGAGTGTTTGCCTAGCATGTGTGAGGCACTGGGTTTTATCCTCAGCACTGCATATAAATAAATAAATAAATAAATAAATAAATGTCTATCAACAACTTAAAAAATGTATTAAAAATACATAGTGACCTCATTTCTCCCTTTAGTACAACTGACTTGGCCATTTGTGTCGTCTTTGTATTAAAAATCCAATCATTTATTTATTTATTTATTTTAAATATGTATTTTTTTAGTTATAGATGGACACAATACCTTTATTTTATTTTTATGTGGTGCTGAGGATTGAACCCAGTGCCCCATGTGTGCTAGGTGAGCACTCTTCCTCTGAGCCACAGCCTCAGCCCCTCAATCATTTATTTTTATCATTATGGACTCATGGATGTTTATTTTATTCTTTGAGTTATAATCTAATTCTATATTGTTTAGTTATGTTGCTCCAGTTGTTTTTTTTTTTAATTGTTGGTTGTTCAAAACATTACATAGTTCTTGATATATCATCTTTCACACTTTGCTTCAAGTGGGTTATGAACTCCCATTTTTAGCCCATATACAGATTGCAGAATCACATCAATTACACATCCATTGATTTACATATTGCCATACTAGTGACTGTCATGTTCTGCTACCTTTCCTATCCTCTACTATCCCCCCTCCCCTCCCCACCCCTCTTCTCTCTCTACCCCCTCTACTGACCTTCATTTCTCCCCCTTGTATTATTTTTCCCTTTCCCCTCATTTCCTCTTGTATGTTCTTTAGAGTATGTGGGTACACATGCTGGTAGGGAAGTAGATATGCAGGTGAGAGTGAAAATTTTATTCTGATTGCTTCAGTTTTCTGCAGAGAAGTAGGAAGTAAGGATATCATTTGAGAGCAAGGATGGGAGATTTTGGGGACTTTGAGGTATTCAATAAATGCATGTAGAATGAATACATCTACTTCTCAGAAAAGCTGTGAGGATTAACACTACAATAATCATAAGCTTATTAGTAGGGCATTCATTTTAGTATTACAATTAACATGTAGAAATGCAAATCTGATATTGACAGTCCTTCATTTTCCAAACCAGCTTTCTCAGCAATAAAGGTGATTTAAAAAAATTTTTTTTGGTACTAGAGACAGAACCCAAGGATGCTTTTTTAACCACTGAGCTACATCCCCAGCCTGTTTTTATATTTTATTTAGAGAGAGGGTCTCGCTGAGTTGCTCAGGACCTCATTAAATTGCTGAGACTGTTTTTTTTTTTAATATTAAAGAACTTTAGCTGAGACTGTTTTTGAACTTGCAATCTTCCTGCCTCAGCCTCCCAAGTCGCTGGGATTACAGGCATGCACCACCACACCCAGTTAGAGGTGATTGTTTTGGTACTCAGGGGTGCTTAACCACTGAGCCACATCCCCAGCCCCTTTTTGTATTTTATTTAGAAACAGGGTCTTGCTAAATTGCTCAGGGACTCGCTAAATTGCTGAGGCTGGCTTTGAACTAGCAATATTCCTACTTCAGCCTCCCAAATTGTTGGGATTATAGGCATGTGACACCACGCCCAGCTAGAGGTGATTTTTTGATTGCTTCTGACTCCTGGGTCAATTTTTCAATTGTTTCCAAATTTAGAGGGGTGAAGCATTATCTTTCCCCAAACCCAAAGTCAGCCATGCTTGACTTTTAGTTGTTATTTAATCTTTTGTGGTACTGGGGATTGAACACAGTGATACTCTACCATTGAGCTACAACCCCAGCTTTTTAAAATTTTTTTGAGACAGGGTCTCACTAAGTTGCTAAGACTGGCCTTAATATTTGGTCAGGAATTTTTAAATTCTACAGAGATGCCAATTTGAAAGCAGTTCCTCTCCAATCCCACAAAAAGCTAGGCAAGTACTCTACAATTGAGCTATATTCCCATCCCCTACAAAAAGTTTTTTAATTTAATTTTTTCTGTCTTAGTGATGGGGTAGTGTAGACAGCCCTTCAAATCTCATATCTCTATTAAAGAAGAAAGGATCAGATATATTAAGAGGCTGTTGTTTATTCCTTAATTTCTAGGATGATTCTCATTACCTTCTATTTGTGAAGGGCTCAACTTTTCTTTGTGTTGAAGATGTTCTGGTAAATTATTATCCCTGAAAAGATATATAAAAAGATTAAGACTTAATACATATATGAAACCAGCAAAAGTCAATCTTCTTCATCAATTTTTGCTGAATGGAATGACTGAAAGTATCACAATTTATCCAGAGTCACAGTACCTAAAGGGACCAGTTACTGTCACTTGCCAACAGTTGTAGTATGGACAGTAAGTAAATGTTGGCCACTGAAATATGCACTTCGGTCCTATACTTGCAAATCATCCTCACCTTCCTTAAAAAAATCTGATTTCACTTAAACATGGGCGTGCACCTGAGGAACTTCCGGATGCTACGGCCTAAACATGGAGGACTGAGGAACTTCCAGATCCTAGAGTCTCAACATGGACGTGCACCAAAGGAACTTTTGGATCCTAAACATGTACGTGTGCCTGAGGAACTTCCGGATGCTACGGCCTAAACATGGAGGACTGAGGAACTTCCAGATCCGGGGGGCTTAAACATGAACATGCACCTGAGGAACTTCTGGATCCTAGAGCCTAAACATGGATGCCTGAGGAACTTCCAGATTGGGGGGGGGGGCAGGGGGGGGTTAAACATGGATGTACGCAACGAACTTCCTGATCCCCTAGGGCTTAAACATGGACGTGCACCTGAGGAACTTCCAGATCCAGGGGCCTAAACATGGACGTGCAACTGAGGAACTTCTGGATGCTACGGCCTAAACATGGAGGACTGAGAAACTTCTGGATCTGAGATCCCAAAGATGGACATGCACCTGAGGAACTTCCGGATCTGGGGGCCTAAACATGAACAACTGAGGAACTTCCGGTCCTAGAGCCTAAACATGGATGTGCACCTGAGGCACTTCCAGATGCTATGGCCTAAACATGGATGTGCGCCCGAGGAACTTCTGGATCCAGGTGGACGTGCACCTTTGGAACTTCCAGATCCGGGGGCCTAAACATGGACACTTGAGGGACTTCCAGATCCGAGGGCCTAAACATGGATATGTCTCTGGAACTTCTGGGTCCTTGTGCCTATAAAGGGCAGGGTGTGACTCTCAGAAGGGACGTGGTCCATGAAGAGGAGCGGAGTATGGGGCCTGTTGGGGGACAGACTGAGCTGTAGCACCCTGAACTTGAATGTGATGGTGGCCTCACTTCTCAGCCTTCCCCTGGGTGTCACTTTCCTCCCCTTCCAGGAGGTGCCGGGAGGAAGTGAGACCAGGCGCAGGGACCAGGCCCTGAGGAGGGACACCGTTTTTCTCCTTGCTTAGCCAGGCGCCCAGCCTGGCTGGGGACAGGGACGTCTTGTGACACTGGCTGCCTCCTGCATCCCTGCACCAGGACCTCAGGGACCACAGGCGGGGATAGTCGTTGATTCTCCCCTGGCTGCTGACTCTCAGTCCCGGGGTCTGCCCAGGGAGAGCTCTGTCTCCCAGAGGGTCAGGAGGCCCCTGTGACCTGCTGCTCCTTACCCACCATCATCCTGGGCGAGCACAGGTCAGAACACCAGATGCTACTGAGAGTGACATCTCCTAGATGGGCGGCTGGGGACTTTGCCTCTGTCCCCAGGCCTCGGACACCGGATGATCACCCCCAGAGACAGAAAATAACCCCACACTGCCCAAGACTTATTTTAAGCTTTGGATTCTGAAATTTTCCTGCTGTCACCTTCTTTGTGAAGCCAGTTTTTCAACAGAGACAATATTCTGGGGTGGGGGGGAACAACAACATGGAGTTAATCAAACCAAGCTGACACATCTGGTCCTCTAAGAGAAATCTGGATTGGAGGGAGAACAGCCATTCTCAACTGGCGAAATTGTGAAGTTCCCTTGTCCTTATTTTGTTTAAGAAAAATAAATAATCTGATGTTAATTCATCAAATTATTTTTGATGAGTGCTTGGCTCATAGGAAAAAAAAATCTGATTTCATCCATTTCTAGAACAGGAAACTGAGGCTCAAAGGAATTAAATAACTTATCCAAAGTCACACAGAGGTGGGACAGACTTGAGATTTAAGTTTGTATGATTCAAAAGCTCAAGATTATAAACCTTTAACTATTCATGTTGTTATAAATAAAAGTTTTTTTTTAACTTTGTAACTAATATAATTAATGTTGTGATGAGTATCCTTATAGAGAAAACTTTGCATCCATTATTGCCAGATTGTATTTTTTTAATTTTTTTTTTTTTAGTTGTAGTTGGACACAACATCTTTATTTCACTTGTTTATTTTTTTATATGGTGCTGAGGATAGAACCCAGGGTCTTGCACGTGCAAGGTGAGCACTCTACTGATGAGCCACAACCCCGCCAGATAGTATTTTTTACCACATGTCAGAAATATACAGAAAAAGATAATAGAGTTATAAAACCTTTTGGAAAGTTTGGGACTCTGTTTTGACCTTTCATTTCCTTGGGAAAATAAAATATGGAAAAGGAGAGAGAATGTTAATATTTTGGGAACAGTTTGCATAGATCTGCAGTAATTTATTTAGGAATATAGAAATTATTGTGTAAATCTGGACTTGTAAATATGGTAAATTAAACAATTAATTAAATGTAAATTAATAACAAAATAAAACTATAATTTTATAAATTTATTTTATTTAATTCTGAGAACCAAAAGTTTAAAAACTATGGAATCACTTGGTTTTGGTAGTTTTATAAAAAGAAGTTAAAAAAGGGAAATGAGAGACTAGAGGAGAACGGATTAAGCCCTGGCAGCTGTGGGGAGGTGACCTGGCTGGGGGAAATACCTGAATATGGAGAATCCTAGTGCTGGGCATTCAGGGCCAAATCCATATCCACCAATGTCAGGTAACCCTGGAGGTTCTAATCTTGGGCATCCATCCACCACATCCACCACCTGACAATCTGGCCTTTCCTCCTGGTCTCTGTCCCACTCCCCTAGAAGGTCCCCAGGAAATGCCAAGTTTTCCTCCACATGGGTCCCCTTATTCTCTGCCAGGACACCAACCCTCAGATCCCTACTCTCCTTCACACCCACCATCTGCTCCTGTTATGCCTCCTGTGAACCACATGGCTCCTGGCATGGTAGGCCCAGGAATGATTATGGACAAGAAGATGTGGAAGAAAATGAAGAAAAGATGCACAAACACCACAAGCATGGCAAGCATCCCTCCTCTTCCAGCAGTGACTTTGACTGAATACAGAACCTGGAGCCTCCTCTCAAGTCTCACCAGTTCTGCTGTCCCATCAAGTTTCAGCTGCTGTGTTGTATTAACCAATGTGCTTCCTAGCCTGCCCCACCTGAGCCTTAGCTCAGGGAAGCTGAATTGGGAAGAGAATTGCCATTGGCTAGCAAAGATAGCCTTCTCATTGCTTGATACATCTTATTTATATGGTTGAAGAGTTCAGTGGAAAGCTGTATTTTGAAGTTGGTGAGACCTCTGAGCTAGATGCTGAAGAAAAGTTTAAATTCTGTAAAATGTGATATTTTAAAATTTCCTTTTGTAATATGTGTAGTTTGGAGGGTTTATGGAAATTTTTCTATGATGAAAAACCACCGGGGTGATTTAGTGGCATATATATTTCCCAGCAGTCCTTTTATTGATTGCACTAACAGCAAGGCTGCTGGGAAGTAGAGTCCATTTGGCTGATGAGCTCTGACTGCCCTTTTGTAAGCTAATATCTACACCTTAGCTCAATATGTTATCTCAGGTCCTAGTCTCATTCTCAAGCTCTGGGTCCAAATAAAACCATTTCTTCTCGGAAAGAAAAAAAAATAAAAAAAATAATAAAAAATAAAATTATTATTTAGTGTCCTGTAGAGTATTTATTAGATTTAACTCATTTCAAAGAGGGACCTGGGAGAAAAGAAAGTGACCAGCTTTTATTTATTTATTTATTTGCATTGCTGGAGATCAAGTCTAGGGCCTCTGCTACGTAAGGGCTCTCCCACGGAACTACACCCATCCTGGCTGTGATAAGGTTGTTTTGTTTTGTTTTTGTTTTTTGGCAGTCCTGGTAGTTAAAACTATACCACTGAGCAATATCCCTAGCCCTTTTTAAATTTTGAGACAGGGTCTCATTAGGGTGTTCAGGCTGGTCTCAAACTTGTGATCCTCCAGCCTCAGCCTCCTAAGTAGGTGGGATTTTAGGTGTATACTGCCACACCTGGCAATATTGATTTCTTCTGATGTTTTCTTTTTATCATCTACTTGAACTTCTAAAGACTCTTAGATTATTTTATAAACTATTCTTTTTTATTATTTTTTTAGTTGTAGATGGACACAATAGCTTTATTTATTTTTTGTGGTGCTGAGGATCAAACAGTGCCTCACAAGTACAAGGTAAGTGCTCTACAGCTGAACTACAACCCCAACCCCTAAATATAAAAATATTTCTGTCAGATGATGTAAAAAGATGCAGCAGATGCAGAGATATAATATTCTTAAGAATCCAGAGGAAAGTGGAATGCCAGGCAGTATAAATTTTTTTTTTTTTTTTTTTTTTTTTGGTACTGGTATTGAACCTAGGGTGACTTAACCAAACCTTTTATTTTTATTTTTTATTTTATTTTGGGACAGGGTCTTTGTAAGTTGATTAGGGCCTTGCTAAATTTTGAACTTGTGATCCTCCTGTCTCAGCTTCTTGAGCTACTGGGATTACAAATTTTTGTTTCTCTTACTTTTAGTCATTGGTGGATGTTTATTGAAATTTGTTAATAGCTGACTCAGAAAAACCTATTTTATCAGATCTCATTTTACTGGTTATATTTGTAATGTGTACTCTTTTCTCTATATTTTGACTTGCTTAGGAGTTAATTCTTCTTTATGATCTTTTTATTTATTTATTTTTGGTACCAGGGATTGAACCCAGGGGTGCTTAACCACTGAGCCACATCCTGATGCCCTTTTTAAATATTTTTATTTAGAAACAGGGCCTCACCAAGTTGCTGAGGCTGGCTTTGAACTCATGATCCCCCTGTCTCAGCCTTCCAAGCCACTGGGATTAGAGGCTGCGCCATCATGCCAGGCATGATGTTTTACACTTATTCTTTAAATTGGCACTCAAAATACCTTAATGAATAACTTATAACTCCTCGATCCCTCTATGACATTCTATGTCCTAACAGAAAATAGATTTTCATCTAGGAAAGTAGGAAGGATAACTGTTTCTCCAGTCTAAAAGAATATTTGGCCCAGTACAGTGGCATATACCTATAATCCCAGTGGCTCAGGAGGCTGACACAGGAGGACAGCAAGTTCAAAGCCAGCCTTAGCAATTTAGCAAGGCCCTAAGCAACTCAATGAGACCCTGTCTCTAAATAAAATACAAAAAAAAGGGCTGGGGATGTGGCTCAGTGGTTAAGTGTCCCTGAGTTCAATCCCCTGAACCTCCCCCCACCCCCCAAAATTGTCTTTTTCTTCTCATAAAAAAAATCTTTCTCAGTCAAGCATGGTAATCCTAGCAACTGGGAGGGTCTGAGGCAGGAAGATCACAAGTTCAAGTTCAAGGCCAGCCTTGGCAACTTCATGAAGCCCTATTTCACTATTCAGAAAAAAAAAAGACTGGGGATGTATCTCAGTGGTAAAGTACCCCTGGGTTCACTCCCCAGTAACACCCCACCTCACACTCCCCCCACATATACATACACACACATAATCTTTCGGTTGTCAGGCACAGTGATGCATACCTGTAATCCTAATTTCTCAGGAGGCTAATAGAGTAGGATCATAAGTTTGAGGCTACCTGGGTAACTTAATGAGATTTAAGGGGTTGAGGATGTAGCTCAGTGGTAGAATGCTTGCCTAGCATTCAATCCCCAGTATCTCAAAAAGAGAACAAAATAATCTCTGTCTTTAATTCAGAAATTTTGCTTTATACCTAAATTTGCCACAGAACAGATACTTGAAGAGCATTCTAACTTGTCTAGTCGTAGCCTCTATGGGTATTTAATATAGTCATCACTTAATAATTTATTACATATTAATACTTTAATTACCTACCTCTTGCTGTGGAACCCAGGTACTTTTAAAGGATTTAGCTTAAATTTTGGATTAACTTCTGAAACTGCCATTTGGCCAGTGACTCCGTCTGGAATTCAGAAGATATTATTAGGAATCAACTCACATATTATATATATTCTATTGCAACTTTCCTAGCTCAAGGCCTAGCATTTGAAAAATCTAGAGCTTTAAGGAATGGTACTAGAGTTATGTGCAAAGTTGGAGGGATGTGGAAGGGTCCCTTTGATATCACTAGATTTCTAAGCAAAACTTCTTGCCATTACTTCCCCTTTCAAATACTATCATTCTGATGCTATGTAAAAATAAATGCTGGGCTGGGGTTGTGGCTTAGTGGTAGAGTGCTTGCCTAGCATGTTTGAGGCACTGGGTTCGACTCTCGACACCGCATAAAAAAACTAAATAAATAAAATAAAGATATTGTGTCCACTACAACCAAAAATATTTTTAAAAAAATGTTACCAGGTGCAGTGGTAAACATCTGTAATCCAACTGACTCAGGAGGCTGAGGCAGGAGGATTGCATGCTTAAGGCTAACTCAGCAAGTTAGTGAGGCCCTAAGCAACTCAGTGTGACCTGTCACAAAATAAAAAATAAACAAAAAATGGTCTGGGGATGTCTTTCAGTGGTAAAAGCCCTCTGGGTTCGATTCCCAGTTCCAAACAAACAAATGTTAAGAGAAATAAATCAGCTACATAAAGACAAATACTGTTATGTTCTTAATTATATGTGGAATCTAACAGTTATATGAAAGCAGAGAGTATAATGCTGGGAGAAGGGGGCTATGAGATATTGGTCAAGAGGTACAAAGTTTCAGTTACACAAAATGAGTACTGATGCTGTAACATGGTGACTATAGGTAATAACACTGTACTGTATACTTGAAATTTTCTAAGAAAGCACATCCTAAATGTTCTTACTCTTCTGCCAACAGTAACTGTAAGGCGTTGGATATATTAATGCTGGATGGTAGAACTATTTCATAATGTGGAGATATATATATATATATATATATATATATATATATATATATATATATATATATATCTCAAACCATCAAGTTGTACATAGTAAATATTAAAAAAAGGGGTCACTCTGATGCAGATAAAGTATCTTAGAACTATGTGGAAGAAATTATTTAAAGACAGAATTTATTTATGCAACAAAAACATTTCATGCACAATTAATTGACAAAGAATAAAATGTTTACACCATTTCTAAAATATTTGCTTACTTATTTCTGTTTTTATATATCTGTCTGGTAGTAAGTAGATTTTCCCAGGGTTTTTTACTGGAACACATATCACTGCCCTGTTGGTTCTTTTGAACTCACTGGTCTTTCTTAAAAGTAGGAGCAGGTAAGGAATACAGTGCTGTTTGCTACCTTAGATCCTCTTGTATGGCCTCTTCACTGCTATGGCCTCCCTAGTCCTCCCTTTCCATTTCTGCATAATTTGAGACACAGGGCCTGTGGTCCAGGAGCTAGGGGTAGAGCTTTTCCCTTTATTATTTTTATTGCTCCAATAGAGTGTATCAAGTGGTTCATTGACAAGTAAACTGGGTTCCTAACTTAGGAATAACAAACAATAATACTACTTTTAAACTATGAAAAGGTTTCTGAATGTTGGGTTAGAATTGATTTTTCCCAGGTCTTCACCTCAGAACCTGGAAAGCAGTTGTTTCTACACCACTCAATTACATATGTTCAGAATCTAGGAACCTACCACAGAGCTGGAACGCCGGAGATGCTCAACAATTTAGGCACTTGAAAGGTGCTGTGAAATCATCCTCATGGCTCAAAATAATCATTACTTAAAAAAAGAATCTTCAATCTTTTATAGAGATAATAGTTTTGTTTTTTTTTAAAAAAGGACTCAGCCTAGAATCATAAAAATCCTGATATTTACTACTTTTAAGCTGGGCTACTAACTACTTTGGGACTTTAATCAGATGAAGAATCCAATAAAGGGTTTGTTCCATCATACAACTGTGACCTCATTCAATGCTCAGTCTCAGGCCAGGGGGAGAATGAGCCACCAATTTCTTTCAGTGTTAACAGAGAGTTAGTGTTTTCAGTGTGGTTCATTCAGCACCCTTGGGGTGTGTGACAGTGTGAGCTACAGAATCAGAACATTTTGACATTGTTGAGATTTCAGGGAAGGGGAAATTTTTTAGTTTTAAACATTGTATTAATATATTTTCATTAGTTAGTTGAAAGTTGTTCAAGTAAAACATTTTTTCCAGGTACCTTGACCGAATGGTGATTAAAAACCATTTCATTGTTTAAGCCTAGAAAGAGGGGGGAAAATCAAACCCTCATAGACTATGGTTTTTAATATTAGTAGGAAAAATGACTTAAAAAGAGTAATTGAAGCAAAGATTGTGTTAAGCAGAAATCTTGATATTCATTATCTGACTTGTCTTGTGGCATTGTAAATTGTCCAGCACAAGAGTAGGAGTGTCTTTAGTCTGTTATGGCTAAACAAAGCAATGGCACCTAAGGTTTAGCTAGTGATAGAGTGGGGCTTTCAAAAGTGCCCCAGGCTTCACTGCCACTAAGCCTCTCATTCTGGTCAGGAACACAAAGGGAAAGTATGACAAGGTTTAATTTATAAATTAATTCAACAAATATTTGTATTAAGGGCTCACTATGTTAAAGGCTACCAAGATTTAAAATAGGTATAATGACAGTTCCTATCTGATGCGGTTGGTGAGAAGTAAAATTTTATTTTTTAGAGATAGGGATCACCATATTTCCCAGATGGCCTCAAATTCCTGGGCTGAAGTGATCCTCCTGCCTCAGCCTTCTAAGTACCTGGTATTATAGGCGAGTGTTACTGCACTCAGCTAGAAGTAAAATTTTAAAATTATGATTTACCTTTAACTGTGGTAGAATACATATCACATAGAATTTACCATCTTACCAATTTTAAGTGTATGACTTACTATCATTAAGTATATTCACTTTGTTGTGCAACCAATCTATGGAATGTTTTCATCTTGAAAAACTGAAAGTTTATATTCATTAAATAACATCTCCCCATTTCCCACTTCTACCAACCCCTGGCAACTATCATACCTACTCTAGATATCTCATATAAGTGGAATCATATGATATTAGTCTTTTTTTTTATACTGGGGTTAAGCTAGGGGTACTTAAACCACTGAGCCACATCCCAGCCTTTTTTACTTTTTTATTTTGAGACACAGTAAGAATAAGTTTCTGAGGCTGGTCTTAAACTTACTTTTCTTTCTTTCCTTTTTTAGTTTTGAGTACTTTTTTATTTAAAATTGTTTTTATTAGAACTTTATAGTTATACATAGTAATTGGGTTCATCCCAATAAACTCACACATGCGTGGAATTCAATTTCGTTCATTATCCTGCCTTTTCCCTTCTGTCCTCCTCCCCGTCCCATTTTTCTTCCTCTGCTCTACTGGACTTCCTACTCATCTATTTATTTATATTTGATTGGTTCTTTTTACCTATGCATAAAAATGAAGTTCCTTGTCATATATTTATCTATGCATATAACATGATTTTTAAAAAATTCATTCTGCCGTTATCTCTCCTTACCCATCCCTCCATTCTGTCTCTCAGTTTCCTTCTTTCATGTTACTGATCTTCCCTTTATCTTTATGTTACCTTATCCTTCCCTTCCCTTTTCCTTTATTTTATTCTAGCTTCTGCATATGAGAGAAAACATTTGAGTTTTGAGTTTCTGAATTTGGTTTATTTTACTTAGCATGCATGAGATTCCCCATTTTCATCCAATTACCAGCAAATGCCATAATTTCAAACTTTTGTGTATATATATATATTCCAAAAATTCAATATACATATATACATAATGTATGTATATATACTTATGTATATATTATACGATAATTTCTTAATCTATTCATCTACTGACAGGCATCTGGGTTGATTCCATAATTTAGCTGTTATGAATTATGGTTCTATAAACCCTGATGTGGTCATCCCAAGCCCTTTATAAACTTATTTTGAGACAGGAGCTCACAAAGTTTCCCAGGCTGGCAGTGAACTTGTGATCCTCCTTTATCAGTATCCTGGAGTTACTGGGATTATAGGTGTGTGCAACTACACCTTGCTTATTTCTGGAATTTTCCATTTAATACTTTGGACTACAATTGACTATAGGCAACTGGAGCTACAGAAAGTACAACTGTGGAAAAGGGGAAATATCTGTATTTGTCTCTTTATTGTTGAGTTACAAGGATCTTTATATATTTTAGATACTAAGTCCTTGTCAGTATATAATTTCCAACTATTTTTTCCCATTCTGTATGCTGTATTTTCATTTTGATAGTTTCCTTTCAGCTGCAAGTTAATCCTAGAATTTTATTTCATTTTTTAAGAATTTAATATTTATTACAATTTTTACACAGTAACAACAAAATAATGCTAGTAAGTTACTATTTTTCTAAAAACACTGCAAAATGATAAGGATAAAACAGTAGGAATGACATTATGAATTTAATACTCAAAATTTAAAATATAGTCATCTGTCTTTTAAGCAGATTTAAACTGATGATTTCTACATGAACAAAAACATTTAAAATATAGAAATAATCTTTCTTAATAATGTACTAGATACTATCTAAAGACTCAACTTTATTGCACATTTTGGTTTAAGCTTATTTGATCATGTACCATGCAGAAAAATAAATTATGAGATAAAGTAGGAAGGATGTTACTTTGTATTACAAAATTAGATGAGGGATGATACACTTCACAGTTTAATCTTCAGAAAATTTTATTTAATTATTGCATAAAACCACTGTTTGGGGAGCCACAATGAATGACCACACCCTACCAATCCTGATGCCTCAGATTCTGACCAACCACTGCATTCTCTGTGGCTTGGGCAAGGTCTATCTTGGATAGTAAGGGTTCTTCTTTGTGGGATGTGCCCCTAGGGTTGAGTTACACTCACCTATCCTTTGTAGTCCTGCCCCTTCTGCCCTTTTTTGGATAGAACTTTCTAAGAACAGAGTCCCCCCAATAAAAGCTCACTTCCAAATGTGCTCCTTCTCTCTCGTCAGCCTCTCTTAACTTTCTCTTGCTCTCCCTTTTGGGGAGCCTGAGGCGGAGAGCAGGGAAGCCGTCCTGTAGCTTGTGTAAAGGTAAATTGTGTCTGTGTTTTATTTGGTGTCCCTGCAAATTCACACTAGTGATCTTAAGTTCAGTTGCCTGTGCTGGTCAGGGGCGGCACCACTGGTTAAAGTCATTTATTACACATTCAAACTAAGAGATATTAAATGTAGTAAAATAGCCCTGTTCTTATATAAGCTTCTCTTTTCACTGATACCAATTATCACTCTCTTTAGCCACCTAAAAAGGTGTTCTTTGTCTAATTTTTAAAAAACATTAAATGACAAAATCCTAGTGTGTATGAATTTTTGGCTATGTCAAGCTATTCACATAATAGGCACATAATCAAAATTTTATCATTTTAAATGTGAAAAAAGTAGGAGGCTCTGGGGTTAGACATAACCTATAAGCCAGTTTCTCAATAGAGCTAGCAAACTTCTGTTTTATTTCTTGAATGTATTCAGTCAAACACTATGTTAGTGGTATTGAATGTAAACATTCTCATTTATTTGTACAGATTACTGAGGTAATCCAGAAACTATTGTTATTACAGTAGCCTCACAATTTAATATCTCTGCAAATATGCTTTGGAAAAATTTAAAAAAGCAAACAAAAATTTAAGTGTAGACTCAGCCAGGCTCATGCCTGTAGTCCCAGAAACCCAGGAGGCTGACACAGGAGGACTGCAAGGCCAGCCTCAGTGACTTAGTGACACTCTGCCTCAAAATAAAAAATAAAAAGGGGTGGGAATGCAGCTCAGTGTAGAGCACCACAGGGTTCAATCCCCAGTACCTCTCTAGTCCTAGAATTTTTTAAAGCTAAAAGAGAAGTAATAGATTATCAGCCACATTCATCCTTTTCATTTTATTGCTAAAGAGACTAAAGTTTTGTTTCTTTAATGGCAGAACCAGGAACACCTACTTTGTAAACTGCACTGTGATTAGAAGGTAAAAAAAAAGTAGCAAGTGAAGCCACTAGAAAACAATATAAGATACCTAATAATCAATATGATGCTGTGTGGTATGGCAAAGGCAAAAGGAACTTAGAAAAACTTTTGAGAACTAACGGTGTCCAATCACCTTATGGATTAGTAGACAGAGGGTAGAAACCAACAAAACCATTAGGGAAAAAAACTGTGGGATTAAAAGCTATAAGTCAAAGTAGTAACCCCTGTCTTCACAACGCCTTCACATCAGGTTTCACACTCACCTTTAATAGAACTGGGAGCTTTTATCAGCTTCTGTAGAGACACTGTTCTTTTTGCTTAAAGACAAGATTAAGAGTCAAGATGGGGGTGGGGGGGCTGGGGTTGTGGCTCAGCAGTAGAGCGCTCGCCTAGCATGTGCAAGGCCCTGGGTTTGATCCTCAGCACCACATAAAATAAATAAGTGAAATAAAGGTACTGTGTCCAACTACAACTAAAAAAAAATTAAAAAAAAAAAAGAGTCAAGATCATATAAATTTCTGAAGTTACAGAAAGTGAAATAGGAGGGGTATAGTTTATCTTATTTTCTCCCCAGAGAGTGGGAAACTGAAGAAAATGTTGAAGTTATCTTAATTCATATTTCTTCTTTTGCCTCCTTAATGTATTAAACTCCAAAAGCAAAAAAATTAAAAGCACTAGAATCAGAATTGAAATCAAGACTATTCATTTATCATTTATTCATTTTTTGCCCTTCAAAATGTGAGGTAGTTTTTTAAATATGATGAGATTAACTCTTAGGAGAAAGATGATGGACATAACAGCCTGGTTTCTTATATCTGGTTTGGTTTGGTCTAGCCAGAGAAGCCAACTCTGTACTATTTTAAAAACAAGAAAAATTTGTGGTAGGTTATGAAAGCATGAAAAATGTTTAGTGATACCTTTAGGTTATGGAGGCTATACAAGGTAATATATCACACAGAAAGTAGTACACATAAAGTAGAAATATCCTCTTTATTGAGGGAAGGTTAATTCAAATATGAGCACATATAGTTTGTAGAATTAAGAAAAACCTATCAAATGCCTTTTATATCCCTTTGTCTGATCTCTCCTCCCACACATTTTCTTCTCCCTATTGTTTGATTCTTCTCCCTTCCTAGAGAGTAGTTTGCTAGAGGTACCCTATGTCATTCTTAGACACTGCATGTAGCACCATTCTGGTTGAGAATGTGACATAGATAATTTCTTTTTAAGACAAGAATCAGACTTTATTTTTTACACTTATTTTTTTTCTAAATGTATATTAGAGTTTCTCTATATCTCTTATAAATGTAGTTTTGTAAATTCTCGAGTAGAACTTTGTAATCCATGTACCTCTGAAGTCTGGGAGGAGTTCTGAATGTTCAGTATCAAAAGACAGAAATATTAGCAGGTCTTGAGGTTGTACATATGTTGATATAGGTATTTCTGTTATCATTCTCAGGTAACTGAAATCTACACTCTTTTTTTCTTAGAAATACAAATTATACATTAGAAATTGGGGAAAAAGTTACTTAAGTGTGAAAATATCATTGTACTTATGTCTAGTCCAAGTATCTGGGATTACAGGTTTGTGCTACTATGCCCGACTTGTTTGTCTTTCTGAATAATATTTTTTTTGAACTTGAAAAATATAAGTATAGGTACCCAGAATTGAAGTTTTTTTTTCCTTATTAAAATTCATTTTATGTATACTCACATAAAGTTCCTTAAATCAATCTTAAATTCTTTTTTGAAACACAATGAGACTTTTGGAGACATATCACAATTTTTTTTTGTCATACTTGTTGGGAAATGTAGGCATAGAGAGCAAATAAAAATTACTTAAGAATAAAGCACAGGTTGAGGTTCTGTGTCTATGAGAAGAGGGCCAAAGACAAGCTTTACTTTGTCTCCTCTTACCAATTTCGTAGCATAATGTTCAAAACTCGCATTCATTCTTTTCTATACAAGCACAGAACATAAACACATAAGGGAAGTGTATAAGGGAAAGTTTATGGTGATAAAATTATGGATTATCATTGGAGGGTAGAATTATTAAAATTTTCCTTTTTTATTCATTCTCTAAATAAAGAAAAATTTTTAATATTTACTTTTGTAATCTAGAAAACACATATAAATTAAACATAGAATCAGACTATCAATTTTAAGTTGTATCATGAATTTTCACTCACGTCTAAACTTCTTCAGGCCCTCCATTATTGAATTCACGATAACCTTCCCATTTCCTGCAAAACATTTTGATTCACATAAAAACTCATAAAAGTTGATAAAAACTGTTAAGTTATAAAAAGTAGCAGTGGGCTGAAACTTACTCCATGAATTTGCTTTGGAATTTGGAATCGTTTTTCCTTTAGGTGAGTGTGATGAAAAAGAGGATAACTTTTTTCAGGGAGACAAACATCTCTAGTCTTTTTAAAAAAAATTAGGTACTGGGGATTGAACCTAGGGCCTCAGGCATGCTAGGCCACTCAGTCCCAGCCCTTTTTAAAATTTTTATTCTGAGGACAGAAAAGGACCCTGGATGGCACTCTTAAGAATTCTAAGGGGGTGTTGTGGTACAGGAACCTGAAGCTGCTGCCCCTTGTTCTGCTTTCACACTGTCTCTTCTCCCAGCTCCTCCCAGACCCCAGGAGCCAGGCCATAGCTCTTACCACTAGCTGCTTCCCATGAAGCAGTATGCTTTGGCTATGCTCTGATGTCAACTTATTACCAAAAAAGCTGGGGGCCCCAGCCTGGTGATGAGCCCTTCTCAGCCCACCCAGTCAGGGTGCTCCCCACCTGCAGGCAGAAGGCAACACCTGTCTGCTACCATCAGCCCCTTCCAGTACCCATCTGCCCTTCTCAGCCCTTCCCTGCTTAGCCTTTCCCTGCTCTGTCCTATCTGGGGGACTGTACTCAGGGATGGGCTGGTAGGGTTGCACCTAGCCTCCTTGGTAAGCAGAGACTCAAGAAACCTCTAGGGTCCTGTTTTGTGATTGTATGATCCCAGGAGGGTACAGAGGCCCATTGGGTGTCTGAATAAAAAGGAAAGGGAGGGAGGGCCATATTTCTGTAGTTCTGCTCTGCTGATATGGAGGGCAGCTGCCCACCCCCACTCCACTCCACACCTTGGGCTCCTGAGTTGGCAGATTAAGCATTTTATAAATACATGTTTTGAATTTATCAAAGAGAGAGAGAGAGAGAGAGAGAGAGGATTCTGATAAGAAAGTAATTTTTTAAAAATGTGTGGAAATGAGTAAATTTGATGATGGAAACTGTGGGAGGAAGGCAGGCTAGTTGGGGAAAGGACTAGGAGGAGGAGGGATAGTTTCAGGCACATTGTAGGACAAGTAGACTTATTTTTAAGTTCTTCAAAATATTGTATGCTTTTGTCTTGAGAGTTAACAGCATTCACCTCTTTCTCCCTCACTTTTTTTCAGAACTCTAACCATATTTCACTTTGTTCCTTCCCAGCAACAAAACGTGAGGCTGGAGCTTGAGGAACAGAAAATGAATAAAAATTCCCCGAAGTTATGAATGGTTGTAGAATCTGTAAGGATAAGGCATCGATTATTCAATTTGAAGCAGTTTCAGTAAAATCAGCTACCCATCCAGGATTGAGTTAGGAAGTGTTGGGATTAGACAGTGTCCTGTTGAGTTACAGCAACATGTAGAAGGAATGCAAAGCAGAGACTGAAGATTCTTTCAAAATAGGAAACCCAGACTATTAATGAATAAGCATTATTCAGTATCTACTAAAATAAGATTGATGCCCGATTTACCCCATTCAAGGGATGATATCATCTCAGCAAACTGAAGGGTTTATGCACCTTCTTTGGGGGATAGTTTTCTAGGGAGGGTACAAGATATCTGTGGAACTTTCAACTTGGTCTGTGTGGTTGAAGCTGAACACACACAGAGGAATGGAAGGAGGCTGGTGGTATTATCACGAAGACCTTGAGGCAAGTGGAACATTTTTGAAAGGTTTAAAACTATGGCATGATCATATTTAGGTTTTAGAAAATACCCTGGGGCTGAGCATGGCAGTGTACACTTGGAGCAACTTGGGAGGCTGAGGAAGGGGGATCACAAGTTCAAAGCCAGCCTTGGCAATTTAGGGAGATTCTGTCTCAAAATAAAAAGGGCTGGGGATGCAACTCATTGATAAAGCACCCCTGGGTTCAATTTCTAGTACCAAAAACAAAACAAAACAAAAAATAACAAAATCACCTTGGGTGCAGAATGGATTGGAAAGAAGCATGAAAGCATGATTAGTTGAGCAGGGAGATTAACAGAAAGGCCACTACAGTCAATTAGGCAAGAGATAATATTGGTCAGTATTAGGATTCAGGAAGTAGGCAAGAAAAGTAGGCAAAAAATGTTTATGAGCATGAATTAACAGAACTTGATGAATGAATGTGAGAAACTGAAAGGAGAAAGCAAAGATAAGGCCTTAAGATTTTGGCTTGAGCAGTTGAATATATGTCCATTAATTGAAAAAGGAAACACAGGAGGAATTTTTTAGAAAGAGTAGATAATCCAGAAATATCAGAGATTGGTTTTCCTGTTCTCAAGGAGCTAGAAGCATATACAAAATAACAAAGTATAAGACAGAATATTCTGAGTTTCTAATGAGAAGAACTGATAAAACCCTATAAGAGTTCAGAGAAGGGAGGTGGAAGTATAGCTCAGTGGTAGTGTCTACCTACCATGCATGAGACCCTGGATTCAACTCCAGTAACTCAGGGGAGGGGAAGTAGTTTAGAGAAGGGAGAGTTGACTTCTGACCAGGGGATGGATGGATCGGTGGATTGATTGATTTATCTTTCTATTTATTTATTGGTACTGGGGATTGAATCTAGGGGTGCCTTACCACTGAGCTATATCCCAAGTTCTTTTTATATTTTATTTTGAGACAGGGTCTTGCTAAGTTGTTAAGGCTAGCCTTAAACTTGTGATTCTCCTATTTCAGCTTCCTGAGTTGCAGGGATTACAGGCATGCACCATTGTGCCTGGTATCTTAGATAATTTTTTTATTTTTTGTATTGGAACAACAACAAGAAAGTGGTAGAAGTTAAAATGTAGTTATATAATATAAGGGCCAGTGGGTTAGCCATGTAACTAGACTCAATAAACAATATTAAAAATCTCAATAAACAAATAAAAAAAATCAACCAACCCCAAACTCCTCTTCCTCCTGTATGTCCCTCTCTAATATTTATTTTTCTTTTCTTTTGTACCAGGGATTGAACCCAGAGGTGCTTAATCACTGAGGCACATCCCCAGTCCCTGGCTTGGAATTTGTGATTCTCCTGCCTCAGCCTCCCAAGTCACTGGGATTACAGGCATGTGCCACCATGCCCAGCTCATTTTTATTTTCTTATGTCAACCACTTTATTGCTTTCCCTTATTTTTTTTGGACTGGAATCATTCCCTTAGGGAAAAATTAGCATATTGGTTGTACTTATGGTTTTAGAAAATAAAAGTCCAGGCAAAACCTTAATATATTATCTGTTTTCTTCACCTTTTAGATCCTTAATAGGCAAAATGTGGTCCGTGGACTACCATCCCTGGCATCACTTGGGAGTTTATTAGAAAGGCAGAACCTCAGGTTCTACAGTGAACCTGGATCAAAATCTGCATGTTAACAAGATGATGAGATGATTTATATGAACATTCAAATTTGAGAACCACTGCACTAGGTGATGTAAAAGTAAGGATCATTTTGAGGATCTTCTATAGAAGATACCAAAAATGTACTTTTAGGAAGAAAATATAATTTTATACACACCCCCCACACACATATCTCACCATTAAATGTCAAGAGAGGCATCAGATACTTCATTTCTCCTTCGGTGAGCTCAATCCCCTCACTTGCTAAAAGGTTGTCTAAGTTCTCGACATCAATCACCTCTCCTTAAAAAAGGTGAGAAATGAGTTGCAGAAATATTATGGAACTATTTATTACGATCAAAAATACTAACTGTGTTTATATATACCATCACCCACGTGCAACCAGAATTAATAGGAGAGTCAGAAAAAGGTCCTGTCTTTAATTCTGTTTTAGAGGATCATAAATTGGCTACAAAAAAGAAAAGTACACTGATGGTAAGAATTGACTGGTAGGTTGTTGCAAAATCCCTGCCAAGTTAAGCTACTTATAGAAATTTAGTTTTACTCTCTCTCTTCCCTTTATCCCATGTAAATACTGAACTTTTTCCTATACACCTATTTTATTTATAATTTTTTTGAGACAAAGTCTCCCGGTATGGCCCATGTTACCTATGTTGCCTTTGTTGTCAAACTGGCCTTAAACTTGTGATTCTCTTGCCTCACCCTCCCATACTACAGGTATGTGCCACTGTACCCAGCAATTCATATCCATTTTGAAAATTTAAATTTTATTTATTTAAAACTATATTTGCCTATAGTTTGCTTCTCTGGTCACTATGTATTCCAGGAATTTTATTAATCTCAATACAATCAGAATGCATTATTTTCTCATGTATTATATAAATAATGTAATAACAATAAAGAAAATATAATAATGTAAAAGGGGAAAGTATAATTCTACTACCCTATCATAATTTTTTTTAGTTGTTCATACCCCATTCTGGTCTTGAAAATAAGATTGTATTTTTGTAATGTGAAAATTTAATATGTGTACAATTTTGTATTTTGCTTTTCCAACCTAAAACTATTCCTTTATAAACATGTTTCCAGGATGCCACATAATTTTCACAGTTGGTATTTCAACACATTCTGCCCCATTAAACCGAATACCATGGCTTATGTAGTAATTTCCATATGGTTAGATATTTCTAACCTTTTTCAGTTTTCTTACTAATATGAGAATGAAAGTCTTTGGGCAGAATTTTTTTCTTTTACTCAGTAAAATTAATTCCATAGGATGAATTTCTAGTGGGGAAAAGGGTACAAGAAGTTTTGTGGTTCTTGACATTGAAGTCTTTGGAGAAAATTTCAGAGAATATCATGGACATCAATATATAGATATAAATTTGTGATTGTTTTCTCAGTTCAACAGCATCCCACAAAAAGGAACATAAGTTATACGAAAGGTTATGGGAAATATTTTTTTCTACTATTAATTGCAAAGTATTAAGATGCTATTTATAAGATTTTTTTCTATCATAGCTGGAAACTCACCCTTGACATAACTGACTATATCCATCAGATCATTCAGATCAACTGTTCCATTATCTGTAAAGCAAGGGAAATATATCCTTAAGACTCAGATAAGCCGATTTTACTGAAACCCACAAAATTTGAACTGTTTTAAGTTCTAAAATTACAAAGATCAGAAGAATTCATTGATCTTTTTTGTAATTTTCCTCAGAATTTTATGGGCCTATCCTCAGGGATACTGTTATCTTAGAAAAAAATTCTTTTAGTCTATAATGAATCATCATCATCATCATCATCATCTTGCAATATGAGGGGTTGAACCCAGGGCCTCACACTTGCTAGGCAAATGCTCTACCATTAAGCTATATCCTCATATATATGAATCATTATTGTATCTTCCTTTTTTCTTTATTTAGAGACCATCAGAATTGTTTAAAACAAGTGATTGATTATGTTAAACGAAAGGAGACAGGGTAAATAAGCCTGACCCTACATATTTTTATTTCATATTTATGGAGCACCTTCTATGTTGCTTCCATGTGCTCTTTGCACTTTGTTAGGCCTTGAAGGTACAAAAATAAGTAAGTTGACCAAATTCTTGTTTTCAGGGAATGTACAATCTAGTGAGGAAAGCAAAAAACAAAATGTTTAAAAAAAAGAATACAATTTGAGGCTCTGTTAAAATGGTATAAAATAGGTGCTAGGCATACACCTATAATCCCAGCTACTCAGGAGACTGAGGCAGGATGATCACAAGTTTGAGGCCAGCCTGTTAGTAAAACTCTGTCTAAAAAAAAAAAAAAAAAAGGAAAGAAAGAAAAGGAACTGGGGAGGTATTCAGTGGTAGAGTTGTTCTAAGTTCAATCCCAATACTGCAAAATAAAATAAAATGTAATAAAGAATAATGAAAGATAGGATTGTATCAAATGGACAGATCAGGGATGGCCTCTCTGAGAAGAGTCCATTTGGATTGAGGCCTGAATGATGGGAAGAATATTCCAAGAAGAGTATGTGCAATATCCTAAGATGGGAATGAATTTGACATGATGAAGAATCAGAAAGAAGGCCTGTGTGAAAGGGGCCAAATCAAGCAGTTCTTGCTAAGTTGCCTGGGCTGGCCTTGATTCTCCTGCCTCAGCCTCCCCATAAACTGGGATTACAATGTATGCCACTGCACTCAGCCTAAAGTTTGATTTTTAAGATTCAAAGTTTGATTTTTTTCCAGTTGCAATGAAATGTCATTGGATGCCTTGAAGAAGGGGAGTAACTTGACCTGATTCAACTGTCAAAAGTTATCACTCTTGCTTTTGTGTATAGGATTAGGAAACTGGGGAAATGGAGAGAGATTGAGAAGATTATTTCAGGAAAATAATCTTGCAGTATGAGGGGTTGAACCCAGGAAGGAGAGGAAGGTGGCTTAAGCTATGGTTTCAGCAGTGGAGATAGATTCAGGGTATGTTTTTCAGGTAGGGTCTAGATTTGAATGTGGGATATACAGGAAAAAGAACTCAAGAATGAAACTCTCCCCCTATTCACTAAACAACAGGATGAATGCATGCCTTTACTGCACTAGGTAGGGTTTGAGACTTTCCTGGGGAATTGTAAATGCAATTGAATAGGTGGTACCTTTTAGAAATCCAAGGGGGAAATACCAAATAGCTAGTTTGATATGCCATTCCTGGCTTAGGGAGATTGAGCTAGAGAAATATATTTACTTGATTAGTTTGGAAAAGTTATCTGGCCCAAGAGGACTGGATGCAATCTTCTAGGAAGAGGGTAGACAAAGATGCCATAAACACACACTGGAGAAAAGATAGCCTTTTCAACAAATGGGTTTGGGAAAATTGGAAATCCATATGTAGCAGAATGAAACTGAACCCCTATCTCTCACCCTGCACTAAACTCAGAGTAGATCAAAGACCTAGGCAACTACTAGAAGAAAATGTAGGCACAACACTTCATCATGTTGGCTTAGGAAGTGACTTCCTCAACAAGACTTCTAAAGCAAAAGAAGTAAAATCAAGAATCAATAAATGGGAGGATATCAGACTAAAAAGCTTCTTTTCAGCAAAGGAAACAAGAATGTGAAGAGAGAGCCTATAGAATGGGAGAAAATCTTTGCCACCTGTACCCCAGATAGAGCATTAATCTCCAGGATATATAAATAACTCAAAAAAATTTAACACACACACACACACACACAAACAACAACAACAACAACAACCCCCCCAAAAAAAACCCCACAAATAACCCAATCAATAAATGGGCAAAGGACCTAAACAGACACTTAACAGTCGAAATACAAATGGGCCACAAATGTATGAAAAAATGTTCAACATCTGTATCAATTAGAAAAATACAAATTAAAACTACACTGAGATTCCTTTTCACTCTAGTCAGAATGACAACAATCAAGAATACATGTAACAATAAATGTTGGCGCGGATGTGGGGAAAAGAGCACACTTACACAGTGGGACTACTCTGGAAAGCTCTATGGAGATTCTTTAGAAAATTTGGAATGGAACCACTATTTGACCCAGTTAACCCACTCCTTGGTATACCCAAAGGACTTAAAATCAGCATACTATGGTGACCCAGCCACATCAATGTTCATAGCTGCTCAAATCACAATAGCTAAGCTATGGAACCAACCTAGGTGTCCTTCAACAGATGAATGGATAAAGAAAATGCAGTATTTATACACAATGGAATATTATTCAACCATAAAAAGAATGACTTTATGACTTCTGCCGGTAAATGGATGGAGTTGGAGACTTATGCTAAGTGAAATAAGCCAATTCCATAAAACCAAAGGTCAAATGTTCTCTTTGATATGTGGATGCTAACACATAATAAGGGTGGTGGAAGGGAAGAAGAGAATTTCATTAGATAAAGGGAATGAAGGGAAGGGACAGAGAACAGGAATAAAAAAGACAGTAGAATGAATCTGACATAACTTTTCTATGCACATATATGAATATACCACAGTGAATCTCCACATCATGTACAATCACAAGACTGGGATCCTAATTAGAATGAAATGTATTCCATGTCTGTATAAACATGTCAAAATATACTCTACTGTCATGTATAACTAAAAAGAACAAAAAAAATCCCCATGCCATTTGTTAAATTTTATTTAAAGCACACAAAGCAACACTTGCTTATCCTTTTAACATCTGGAAAATAAAGTAAGATGCTTTTTAAAAGTCATACAAAGAAAAAAAAAGGCAGCCATGGATTGATTCCTGGGGTATTTAATTATTTAGAGATCTTGTAGGGTAGGAAGAATCAGAAAATGGAGAAGAAGCTGTTAGTAAGGGAAAAAGAAAGCCAGGTAAATATAGACTTTGAAGGTACAAAGAAAAAAATGTTTTAGTAAAGAGAGGGTAGCCACTTAAGTCAACTGCTGCCAAGATGTCAGATGAAAAAAGAACAGGCAGTCAATTATGAATCTTGTCAAGAATCAGGTAGGTCATCGGTGATCTTTTTTTTTTATTTTTAGGTGGATACAATATCTTTATTTTATTTTAATGTGATGCTTAGGATCAAACCCAGTGCCTCATGCATGCCAGATGAGCACTCTACCCCTGAGTCACAACCCCAGCTCATCTTTGGTGACCTTTTTGAGAGCTGGTTCAGTGGTGTGGTGGGGATGAAAACCTGATTAGAACGTGCTGAAGAGTGGAAGGTGAGGAAGTGGAGACAGTGAGTAATGGCAGCTTTTTAAAAACAACTCTCTTGCAGACAGGAACTAAGAGGAGTAATGGCTGATAGGGAGCAAGTGTGATAGAAAAGCATATCTGCATGTCAATGGAAATATCTAGAGAGCTACAGCAGAGGGGGAGAAATCAATGATGCTGGAGAGAAAGGGAGAATATTCTACTAGTATAAGTCTTTGAGAAGACAAGAGGAATGGGTTCTAGAGCACAAGTAGAAAGGTTGACCCACATGGGAACAGTAAATCTTTTCCTTTTATAGCAAGACAAAAGGCGGGGTGTGTGGGCAGGGATACAGGAAGGCTCACAGAAACAGAGGTAGAAGAATGAGGAAATTTTCACCTAACTGTATCTAGTTTTTCTATGAAGTCTGAAAGTGGAGGTGAGGAGTTATTGGAAATTTGAACAGAAAAGGTGTAGGGCTGTCTCTGAGAGTAAGAAAGTGAATTTATTTAGAACATTTAGTAGTATATCCCTTGGCAATGTTAAGGGCTGGCTTGAAATCTGAGGCCATTATATGAAGTGGTTATTTTATTTTATTTATTTATTTTTGGTACAAGGGATTGAACCCAGAGGTGCTTAACCACTGAGCCACATCCCAACCCTTTTTATTTTTTATTTTGAGATAGGGTCTCACTAAGTTGCTTAGGGCCTTGCTAATTTGCTGAGGCTGGCTTTGCGATCTTCCCGCCTCAGCCTCCCAGGATGCAGGGATTACAGGTGTGTGCCACCATGCCCAGCCTAAAGTGAGTTCTATCAGCATGGCTTTAAAATTTTCTCTAGCAATGTTAACCTGTTCAAGGGTAAGCACAGAATAAGGAGATTGCTGGGGTTTTGCCAAGCAAGTTTGAAAAGAGTTTTGAGAGTTTGTGAAGTTATATGATGTTAAGCATGGAATCTAATTTGAGGAAGAAAGGCAATGAAGACACGGTGGTGAAGGGTTGTTGAACAATGGGTCATAGTGGCTGGAGAGAAGCTGAGGTTGGTGTTCTGTCCTCTGTTCTGCTGTAGTACATTTCATTAGCACCAGTGGTATCATATTCAATAGGTAAATGGAACAGTGTCATAGTAATGTGGAAAGTGTGTGGATTCATTCATAATTTTTCCTAATTAAGAGAAGTAGGATTATAAACTTCAGCAAGAAAAAAAATCCTGGGTTGGCCACAGCAGGAGTCAAGACTATTTTATTTTAATAAAATAAACAAAAAAAAAAAGTGCCAGTGATGTAGGTGTTGGGGAACCAGGTTCACTTGGATGAGTTCTGCTTCATCTACATTATCTAAGAGTGGTAAGCAAGTGTTTCAACATTTTTTTAGGGTGTATATGTTTATACAAACTTTTTGGGGGGTACTAGGGATTCAACTCAGAGGTGCTTGATCAATGAGGTACATCTCCAGACTTTTTTTATTTTTTATTTTTGAGATAGGATCTCACTAAATTGCTGAAGCCACCTTGAACCTTCAATCTTCCTACCTCAGCCTCCCAAATCACTGGATTACAGGTGTGTACCACTGCACCCAGCTACATGCATTTTTAAATTGCCATTCTGAGCTATTTGCTTGTGCTGTTCAAACTTCCTCAGAGAATATCAATTGCTACTTTTGTTAGTGCTATGGTTACCGTGTGGCATAAACTTTTGAATGTGGTTACAGAATTTCCCCCATAAGCTTAATTATTTCAGTGGAGAGATTTATAGAATGAGAGGTTTTTAGGAGTTGCTATCGTGTTATGGTAGAAATGTCTGCACAGGAAGTGAACTGGGAGGATGTAGAGAGTGGGTATGTAAAAGAGATTTTGGAAGTGATAAAGTAATAGGTGAGGACAAGGTCTAGGTCATTACCATACGAGTGGAAGTTAAAGATAAAAGGGAGAAAAAGATGATTGAAATTAAAGAGGTAAGTGTCAGATCAGGCGAGGCTGGTAGCAACCAAAGGAGGCAGATTTAAAAAGGCCTCTGAACGAGGCTTTATTGAGATATCACTCCCAGGCCGAACTCGATTAGACCCACAGAGTGGACAGGAGAAGGGTCTGAGAAGAAACGGCGTGGGAGCTCCACCGGACTGGGATTTTATGGGGCTCACGGCAGGAAGGGAAGGGCTTGGGACAGTAAAGGGGATTTTTAGGGTCCCTTATCCTGCTGGAGTTGGTCAGGGGAGCTGGCTGAACTCCAGGATTGGCCAGGGGCTCCTGCTGATTGACAGGCATTAGTTAGGAGATCCTGCTGATTGACAGGTGTTTCTGACAGGGCCTGATTGATGTTACTTTCCTTCCCCTGGCTTCTTTGTTCTAAGACGCCACCACCGGACTTAACAGTAAGTAATAGGAAGTATAGATGATCTACATTAGTTCTTAACCTGGGATCCATGTACTCTATTTTGAGGGAATTCTGGAAGTCCTTGAACTTGAATGGGAAAAAAATCCATCTTTATTTTCATTAATTCTGAACTTGAATTTAGCATCATTTTCTTCAATTATTAATTTAGACATCAAGCCATGGTAGTAGTAGCAGAACCTGTACTTTGATACTAATGTAAACCACTGACACTTTCATATTGTAGTATCATTATTGCAAATATGTTGAAATGATGTTTATATTCATCAATACTTTAAGATTCTAAGAATTATTTGACCTGCAACTAGAACTTGTTAAGTGTTTTAACAAGTGCTAACAATTATATTTTAAATGTTTGATAAACTGTATTTTAATATGTTTTTTATAATCTTATGTATTTTATTTTATGCATTTTGAAACATTATACTCAAGTGTTTTATTCATTAGATTTTCATAGGGGTCCCTGGAACAGTAAAGTTGAAAACCCCGTATGTATATGGAAGGTACTGAAATTTCTGAGAGAAAGAACAGGAGGATTTAATCCAGGGACAGTTTCCACTCAGCTATATCCCCGGCCCTTTTTGTTTTTTATTTTGAGACAGGATCTCACTAAGTTCTTGTTAAGCCTTGTTAAGCTGCTGAGGCTGGTCTTGAAACTGTGATCCTACTGTCTCAGCTTTCTGAGCTGCTGGGATTACAAGTGTGTGCCACTAAGCCCTTAGTGCTATGTTTCTTGTAAAATGTCCTAAATTGTGTCTTGTCTTATTTATAAAAAGTTATAGTTAATAAACATTTATCTCTGTTAGGACTTATATTTTCATTGTAGGCAAAATTTGTTCATAGATCATGGAATTTCCTTTTCTTCTTTCTCTGTTCTTCAATATCTTTTATATCTTTCTCATCATCACTAACATTTACTGAGTATTCTGGACTACAGTGGGCGCTTTACATGTATTATCTATATTATTTTCAGAGGCAAGAAGTGACCATTAAGAAGAGAACCATTAAGTTCAACTCCCCTTTTTATGTATGAAGGAAGTAAGATTAAGTAGGGTTGAATTATTTGCCAGCAAGTTTGTGGCAGAACATGGATGGTGATTCAGCACAAAGAAATACTATATGCTACAGATAAGGGATGTAGTGGATTCACTTGAAAAAAGGGAAGATCTTTTTTCTCCCTATTTACTGCAAGATGACCCCCCCATGCCACTTTTTATTGGTGTATCATAGTCATTCATATTGATGAGATTTATTGTTACATATTTGTACCTGCCTACAAAACAAAACTTTTTTTTTAATATTTATTTTTTAGTTGTAGTTGGACACAATACCTTTATTTCACTTATTTATTTTTATGTGGTGCTGAGGATTGAACCCAGGTCTCGCACATGCAAGGCGATTGCTCTACTGCTGAGCCACAACCCCAGCTCTACAAAACAACTTTTATAAAAAGATGTATAACAATGGAAATACTTACTCAAACTAGATACCCTCACAAGAACTAGATATTGTCAGGCTTATTAATTTTTGCTAGTTCAAGGAGTGAAAATAGTTCTGAATCATGTTTTATTTGTATTTTATATTTTCATGATTATTGGTGAAATTAAACATCTTTTCATATGTTATTGGGCATTTACATTACATTTCCTTTTCTACAGTCACCTATTTGCATATTTGCCTATTTCATATTCTGTTTCTTACCAATATGCAAAACCTTTTTCTACATTAGGGATATTAGGTCTTTTTCTTGCAACCCTTCTCTCCTAGTTCATCATCTGACTTTTGACTCCCTTAATTTTTCTCTTAAATTTCCCTTCAATTCATTCTTTTAAAAAATTTTTAGTTGTAGATAGACATGATACCTTTATTTTGTTTATTTATTTTTATATGGTGCTGGGGATTGAACCCAGTGCCTCACACATGCTAGGTGAGTGTTGTACCACTAAGCCACAACCCCAGAACCACTTCAATTTATTCTCTTAGTTCCTTAGGTATGCAGCACTTTCAGGCATGGCTGAGTCCTGCAAATAGCATCCCAGACTTCCATTTTTAAAGGCATTTTTAAAGATGGTGTTTTTCATGACTCAGGAGTAAGTCTTCCTATTTTCATTTATTTCCTTGTAATACTAAAAAGTTTTCTTTCACCTGTTCTAATAGGAGAGCTAATGTTTCTGTGAAGAGCAAATTGATGTCCGTAATACTCACCATCAGTTGATAGTTCAGTCATTAGTTCCCAAAGTTCTTCATCTTTGATTTTAATTCCCATGTTTTCCAAAAGAGATTCCACTTTTTTGATTTTGACTCATGGTCCTTAGGAAGAAAGAGAATGGAATAAGAACATGAGTATCATTGCCTAAGAATGAAAAATACTGGGGTTTGGGGTGTGGCTCAGTGGTAGAGCACTTGCCTAGCATGTGGGTTCGATTCTCAGCACCTCATATATAAATAAATGGATAAATGGATAAAACAAAGGTCCATCAACATCTAAAAGAATATTTTTTAAAAAGAATGAAAAATGCTAATCATGGTCATACATCAAAAATCCTAATTGGAGGATAAAGCAAAAAGCATAAAAAATTGTGTGTGTGTGTGTAGATTTAGATACAGTTGTTAGTAATAGGGGAAAAAATTGAGAAAGATACCACTGAATTGCTAATGGTATCTGTCTTCATGGGGAGAGATGAGATTGGTAGTGGTTAGGGGATGTTTACCCAGTTCTTTTTACCAGTTTTCAAGTGGTTAGAGTTATCACTTTCATGTATTTTAAAATATATTTTCAAAGTAAAGGAATAATTGTTTGCACAAAGTTAGTATATGAAGTAGAAGTAGGACATTCCCCTTTAATACTGATCTGGGTTTGTTTATTGTGAGTAGATAGGAGTAGGCAACTCCTGGTTGAAACAACAGCCAGTCTATACAAGTAAAACAGTGTCAAAAATTTCCTACAGTAATGCAATACTTTACTTATAATCCACAAATTCTGTGCACCCAAAGAAGACTCATAAGTTATGTGTCATAACAATGGAAAATAGTGCAGAAAGCAAAGTTGAACATCTGAAAGAAATTTCTAAGCAGAAGTTTTCTTTTTTTAAAAAACTTGCTCTTTCACCAGTAAGGTGAAACTTGCTCACTCACCAGTAAGGGCTTTCACACCTTTTAGCAATCCATTCTTATATATCTTTCCACCACCTGTAAGATAAGACACTGTTCAGAATATAGGTTAAGTGATGGGAAGACTAACAAAGACTGCACAAAGACAACACAACATCCTTAATTTCGTGGGAAAACACCGAACAACTTTCTGATTTGTTTGGAAGTTCATTCTCTTTTTACCTTCATGTGAGAATTAAACCAAAGATAAAGTAAGCGCTTTCTGTTATTAATGTGCTCATTGATTAAATTAAAAAGTCTTAATTTCCTGTTTCTTGCTTTTTCCTTCCTTCTCTTACTTCCCTGACTTCCCTCTTCTTGTAAATGACTTAGATTAGGCAATGCCCCCAGGACTACAGAAAAATTTGTATTTGATAGTGGAGACTAGTGAAAGAGGTTGCCAGCTTCCAGTATTAAAATATAAATCACCTGCTGAGCACGATAGTGCATGCCTATAGTCCCAGCGATTCAGGAGGATATCAAGTTTGAGGCTAGCCTTGGCAATTTAGCAGGACTCTATCTCAAAATAAAATGTAAAAAAAAGGACTGGGGATGTAGCTCAGCGTAGATGTCTTTGGGTTCAATTCCCAGTGCCAATCAACCAATCAGTCAATCAATAAAATATAAGTGACAAAAACAGGAAACAAGATTTCTTCTAGTGCAAGAATTGTGCTTTCTAAATGGGTTTTACTGGACAAACACATAACATAACTCATAAGTTTTCACATCCAAGTTCCAAAAGCCTATCTTCAAAGAGTGTGCTAAATACTTACTGTTAGTGGGCAGAGTTTCCAGCAGCTTCTTTTGCTCCTCATTGGTGAGTATCAGCCCCATTTTCCTCAGCACTTTGCCCAGATCACTGACATCAGCCTTCTCTCCTTTAGAAAGACAGGAATTGTTAACATGGAGAATTTTTTCAATAGCCTAATGATTTCAAATTATGAAAACGATTACCTATGTGACATTCTCCCTAATTACAGGAGCAAATTTACAATAAAACTTGTCAAATTACACAGATTAAAGGACATGTGATTGTGCAGTTAGAAAGAAAGTCTATACTTTAAAGTCAAGAGAAAGAAAAGTCCATATAATTCCAGACACAAGTCAAATACCATCATATCACCTGAATTATGAGGTCTTTTTGTAGTAACTATACTACAAAAGCTTCACCTTGATATTGAAAGTACTGAGTTATATTTTGTTTGTTTAAACAGCAGTGATGTGGAAATACTATTATTCACAATGCTACATAATATAGCTTTGTATAGGAAAAAGTCCAAAATCAAACAATAGGTTTATGAAACAAACATTTTGCTATTAAATTTTAGAGGAATCAATTTAGCATGTCATAAATAGCCTGAAGAGAATATGACTGTTTTTACAAATCCTGTTCTTTCCGATAAAGCATTCAGGTCTTAGTTAACCCTAACTTCTCACTTACCTGTAAAAGTTTTTGCTGCATCCATCACCACTTTTAAACCAACACTTTTGTTCTCTGTAAGAAAATATAATTCAAGCAGAGACCAAATCTTAGACTCAGAAAAGTGACATGAAAAATGTAATTTGTAATGTAAAGGGTTACAGTTCAGATGTTTTTCAAAATTTTCTCTAGTAACTCTTTTAACTCAAACAAGAAACAGAGGGAAGAAAAAATCAAGATGTTAATTTATTAATTTTGTTACTGTGGATTCAACCCAGGGATGCTTTACCATTGAGCTATATGCCCTGTCCTTTCCATTTTTTGAGACAGGGTTTTACTAAGTTGCTGAGGGTCTTGCTGAGTCGCTGAGGCTGGCCTTCCACAAATGATCCTCCTTCCTTAGCCTCCTAAATCACTGGGATTACAGGCATGTACCATTGTGCCCTGCTCAAGATATAAATTTAAAGTGAACTTTCATTTAACTAATACCATTTTGAGATAGAGAAGTTTAACAGTAGTTCCTTTTAATAGGCTTCTTCCTCTTTTAGACTCATAAGAAGAGCATGTCATGTTTCAATAGACAAGATTGAATTTGAAATCTGAAAGTCATTTATTTACATAAGCAGCTAACCCTTAAACCATAACAGTATGAGTCACACTCTTTAAATTTTGCATATGTTCCCTATCTCTACCCCTTAAGACTTTAAGCTATTTAAGACTTGGAATCATGCCTTAATTTTCTTTATACCACTAGATAGAAATTTTTCACTTTAGTTCAGTGTTTTGCATTAGTTTAGCTAGTTTGTAGCTAGTTTGTACTAGCTAAACAAATGAAAGAATGCAAGTGGTACAATAGACTGTTGGATTAGAAAGAAAAAGTCATTTAAGCCAAACATGGTGATGTACATCTGTAATCCCAGTTATTTGGGAGGTTGAGGCAGGAGGATCTCAAGTTCAAGACCAGCCTCAAAAGTGTAGCAAGAGTCTGTCTCAAAATATATAATAAAAGAAAGACTGGGGACATAGTGGTAGCATACAGTACTTCTTAAAAAAAAAAAAGAGGGAAAGAGAGAGAGAAAAGAAGAAAATATTGTCATCAAAAAAAATTCAAGGGCTCTAAAAAATACCTTCTGGCAACAATACCTTCTCCAGTACGGAGCATTTGAGGACTCCTTAGATAATATCATAAATAAAAAATACATATTATATATTTTTTTTATTAAGGAAAATGAGCCAGACAAAATTATGGATAATTACAGTCTTGTTAAGCCCAGGGGAAATGAAGTTTTTTAAAAAAAATATTTTTAGTTGTAGATGAACACAATAGCTTTATTTTATTTATTTATTTATTTTTATGTGGTGTTGAGGATAGAACCCATTGCCTCACAGGTGCTAGGCCAGCACTCTGCCACTGAGATACAACCCCATCCCTGAGAGTGAAGTTTTAACTACAAGCTGTTTTCTATGTTAGCATGAAAGATGCCAGAAGGTAGTAGTGGCCCTGAGTTAGGAGAGAAAAACTATTTATTCTGGATTGGCCTATTCTGGTTCTAGTGAAAGATATGCTGTCTGTGTCTCTGATGGAAATTGGCTCTGGGTTAGAATCCAACTACTCTCTAGTAAGGAAATCTTAGCTTGGGGCTAATTCCTTAATATTTTCTTCCTAATGAATTATGCTAGTTTTGACAATTTATCCAGCTAAATTGATCTAATTGAGTCATCACTGCAATTTTATCTTATTATAAAAGGTATACATGAGAAAGAAGGAAGGAAGGGAAGAAGGAGAGAAAATAGATAAAGCAAATATGACAAAAAGATAGCATTTGTTAACTCTGGCTATTGGGCACCTGATGTTTGTATTGCTTTTATGTATGTTTGAAATATTTCATTAGTTTTTCAAGAAGATTGGAAAATAAGTTTACTTTCAGAAGCCCACCCATGGAAGCCCTAAGATTCCTCCCAGGTACAATGGTATCTGAAATACTTAACCATCAATTGGCAGATGGTTTAGTAGGTCCTCATATTCCTCTTCCTCAAGCTCGAGTTCCAAATTCTCCAGAAGTGTTTCCAGCTTACTGACATGGACTCTTTTTCCTTAGGATATAAGAAATACAAGTAAATTCAAGAAGATGCTAGCTTTGAGAGGAGGCATCACCCTAAGTGGAGAGTAAAACATTGGCTACTTAGATGAACCCAGAAAGTCAGTGTCAGAGTTGAGAAAATGCTCCCTCAGCACTGAGCTATAACTTTGAATTGAAGTGAAGATCCTGGATGTGATAAAGGAAAAATTAGACAAATCTCATGAATTGTAATAAAGATAACCAACCTAAATGGAAGCAAAACTTAAAAACTACTAACAATGATTTTCTCAAATATAATTATACCCAAAGAAGAATGATTGGTTAAGACACATATTTTCAGAATCAGGAAAGTAGTAGAATAGTAGAATAGTATAATTCTAATAAGTGAGAAATAAAAAAAAGCAAGGCACAATCATTGTAGCTGCTGTTTTCATGATTCTTACCCTTGAGGGGCTTCAAACCATCCAGTAATCTTTTAATATACACTGTGCCATCTGCTGTAAAATGTAATAAAAAACAAGTCAAAAGGAGGATAAGAGACTACAATTTTGTAAGATGTTTTATATGATCATCTACAAAATATTATTCTATTTTACCCTCAATAATAGAGGATAAGGACTGCTGTCAATATGGTCAGTCTAGCCCCTTGCTGAAACACATGGCAGTAGCTGATGTGTATTACAAACAGGCACACATGGGTGTTTTTTTCTCCTGCTGACTTCTTGTTCTCTTCTTTTGTTGCACTTTGACCCCCCCATCTTTTCCTCTTTTCCCTGTCTCTACTGTGGGCCCATGAGGTGTACTTATATGTTTAGCTCAAAAGGTAACCCCATTGCAGAGATGGTTTAGAAACAGTTATCAACTTGAATAGTAATAAAACAATATTTAAATAAAAATTAAAGAAATGTTTTCTTCCTCTAAACAAACTCTATAAATGGAGGTGAAATGTAATTGAAACAGAGAATAGGTAGTCATCTACTAGCCCAATCTGTCCTCTAGTGTCCTGTCTTTCCCCAGAGGTCTCCATTTTGGGGTGGGAGTGTCTGGAGTGTTGAAGGAGCCCTCAGTGCCTGCCATCTCTCTCTCCCATAGTCTCCCTTACAGTCTGTTTTCATCTTCTTCCTGCTTTCTCAGAACCAAAGTACTAACAAAGAAGCAATTCTTACAACTGGCTCTCTGAGAGATCAAACTGGGGGCAATGTCAGACACAATGAAGTTGCCATAGTCTTAAGTTATTTGAGGAGAATTCCAATGGATATGGAACATTTGCTGTCCAGTTGGCTACTTCTGCCTTCAGGGTCACTAGCCCCCTTGGCAATGTGCAGGTTTGCTCTTACCTGGGGGACAACTGGGGACAGAAACTATGGGGCTAGGTAAGGATGTCTGTATGGAGGTCCCTGAGATCAAGCAGGAGGTACAGGTGAGCACTGGCTGGCTTCTAGGGTTTATGGGTGAGCCTAGGCAAGTGTCCAGGAGGAAGAACTTTTGAGGGGCTGACGGGTTGTGTCAGTGACCAATCAGAACAGATAATGACAGGCCCATGAGCCTGGAGGCCCTCTGACCTCAGGTGTTTACCTTTTTTTAAAAAAAAAAAAATTTTAATATAGTTGGATTTTGGGGAGGTAGAAAATTTTGCATGGGAGAGATTGAAGGTGCAGGGTACATAATGGGGGATATTTAGCTGTGTCACTATGAAAATATTTAGAAGGGGTCACTGGTTGAATGCAAAAGAGAGAAGTTTCTCACTTCTAAATTAAAATAAAAATAACAAGAACAGCATTTCTAATGCCAGTACTACATTATTTTCCCTTAGGGTATTCCTCAGAGTTCTCACCAGAAGCCCACAACATCACATTTCCCTGAACATCAGGGTGGTATGCTAAATACTCACTAGAGATGGGCAGAGTTTTTAACAGTTTCAACTGTTCTTTTTCAGTGATCCGGATTCCCATGTTTCCCAGCACATTTTTTAGGTCACTAGTTTCAACCTTTTTTCCTTTGAAGAGATGGGAATGTTTCAGATGAGCATATTAAGGGCTTTAGTTATTCCAAATTATGAATAATATAATGAAATACAGCATTATTTTTAACTTCAGAATTAAGTTTAATACATGAGCCAACTTCATTTACATAGAGTTATTTTGAAATTCAGTATGTGAAAGGATTCTTTTAATTCAAATAAGATTATACTTTGTGTATGGCATGCAGTATGTGGCATTATGTTACAGTAGTAGGAATGAACTAAGATAGATGGCATAAAGAATTTACATGATTCAGGGGTTAGAGTTGTAGCTCAGGGGTACAGCAGTTGCCTAGCATGTGTGAGGCACTGGGCTTGATACTCAGTACCACATA